AGATGTCATTAAAATGATAAAAATATTTTTAGCATCCGCAAGTCATTAACCATCAATCGCTTTAACGTGTCGGTTATTCCGTTTTTGCCGCACTTTTCATTCATCGAATGATCATGGTGCGTGTGCTTGTGCTTGTGAATATCAAAACGGCGATCACATATCGCCTTTTTTGTTATTTTTTATGAACCGTGCCTAGAAACGGTAATGTTTTGGTTTCGCGGGGAAAATCTATTTAACAAATATGAAAACATTGTGCTACCGTCGGCGTTCGTTTGATATCGAACATATTTTCACAGACACAGCGTCGCCCAACGCTACATCGCTTTCCGTAAGGATATGCATTTAGTGTTTGTAGGATGTCAGACGTATAAAAAATAGTCGTTGCCAAGTAGAGTGTTTTGTGTGACCTTTTGCTGTGCAAGGATGTTTTGATTGTAGCAGTTCCGATTGGTTTTAGTTGATTTCATTTAGCGGCAATTAGACGAAAAGGAGACAAACTTCAGTCGGAAAAGAAACAGATCAACCGGAGTGAAAAAAAATGTACGTACGTGTGACTGGGATCGAGTAAGTTCAACAGTTTTGAAAAAACCAGATAATAAATATTCAAACAAATTTGGTGTTGAGCTCTCATCAAAGACCAATCTGCCGTCGGTGGATTATCATGGATTAAATTGTTTCGGAAACTTAGGCAGCGTTGTTTTACAAAAAATCGGTGATTTAGTGTCACTGTGTGTACCCAACAGAAAAAAATTAAAGTATCGATGTTATATTTACATCACGCAAATATTTACACACATTTCTCGTCTACCGCAACCACCGCCGTTAATCTATCACAAATGCTTAGATCGTTTTAATGGATTGAAAAAATGGTATCGATAGGAATTTGTGGCTTGGCATGGAATTTTGATGATTTGGGCCAAGTAATAGAAAATATGCGATTTATAAATTACAAAATATACGTTTAACGAGTGTGAGAGAGGGGCTATTCCATTGTCATGGTGAATTAGAATTTTTCGGCTATTCACCTGTCCATCAAAATTGGTTGTTTTGTTTCCATCCGTTCAACTCAAAGCATAGAAGATCAATCGAAAATGTGCGTGCTCAATGGCATAAAATATTTCTTACACTTGAAAATCGGGCGTTGGGAATCGGTGATGAGGTAGGCTTCATTACATTAAATTCGAATCGTTTATGACAGCATATCAGTGAAACACAACAAATAGACATTTAGTACGTGTACACAACAAGTGAGAAATGGCGATAAATGAATTTCCTTTGCCACAAATGAAATGATTAAATAAAATGAACGATAATTTTAAATAAACATTTTTTTCTCTTCATTCTCACGAACATTTTTTCCGCTTTGCCTAAATTCCAACGAGTTAAATATGTTTAATGTTGAAACTTGCAAATTTGGTCACATGCTGTCGGCCAGAGGAAATTAAATAATTCCGGTATTTTCCCATCTCGAAGATTAACCATAATGATGAGTCAAAAAAAAAGTCTTGCTAGTTCCAGTATTTACGACTTTTCTTTTAAGGAAACATTCGGAACTTCTTGTCTGGTTCTCTTTTTACTGTCGTCACTTCGACAAAATTATTTGCATTAAAATTTTCCCACTGACATTTCGTTCAAGTTAGGCGATTTAGAAAAGATTAGGTTGGCTAAACACTGGATTACCGTTAATACACATACCATGATCGCCATGGGAAATTTCTTCGTGTGCCTTTGTCTTTGATGTAACTTCCACATTCATTCTCTTTTCATTCGTTTCTTGCCTTTTGTTCACTGCGTCAAGCATTTTCGACTTTCGTTTGTTCTGAAGGCTTCATCACTCATTAGAGTCACTATCAAAGTTTTTTAAAAAAAAATTTTCAAGTCAATTGTCATTAGCTGAAATTGAATTGAGTGTGCAGTTATAATTTTCTGATTCGGAAAGGATCGCGAGATAGATTCAATGTTGAAGATCTTATTAAAATGTCGAGACAAAGATGCATCCGTTTGGCGCCTTGAAATAAAAAATGACTTTATTGTTGTGAAATGATTAACAACAACAATAAAAACGAGCATTTTCAGTATTAATAGATACTTGAGGCTATTTCTGACCATTGCTATTCAATTCACATTTCAACCACTGCATTTTCGTAGTCAAAGCATTTTTTTGTAGCAACATTTTTCAATTTCTTGACGAAAAAAATCCATTTTTTGCCCAAATTGATCATTTCAATTCAAGAAATAGGATAAATTTTCTTTGGATGAAGGCAATAAATCAATATGACTGCACGTTCTATTTAAAATCGGTTGGATGATCGTGAAAAATGACATTTAATTACCCATCTTCGGTTCAATTCCGAGCATTTTTCACTAATTTTCAGAAATAGTTTGGAAATAACAACCAGCCGTCATTTACAACGGCCACTCAGTTTGGAACAAATTGAATTCCCATGTGCATGCACAGTGCACACACTTCTATTTTAAATTTGGCTTTACGCGGCTCACGCTCAAATTCTCTGGTTCACTTGTATTTTTCCAATCTATTTTTTTTTTCGTTTTATCTCGATCCAGGGAGACAAATTGTGAAAGTTTGGAATTTAAATGCATGTCGGCCCGTTATAATGTCAACATCACACACGTAATTCAGTTTGATGATTTTTCGGTTATCGTTATGACACCCTTATGAGTACTTTTCGATGACATTTTTCTATGTTATTCGAAGTTTTTAAATTCTTTATCAAAAATCAAATCCTATTTTTGGTTATTCAGAAAATGATGAAAGTGAGTTGAGCCTTCGCGAAGCTGCTACGGTCTTTATTTCAACAAATTAATAGCTAGCGCAGGACAAATTGCAATTTTCACACAACGAACGATCGGCTCATAAACTCAATGAAATGAATTTTCATCGGCCAGAGTTATAGAACTAAATTTTATGGTGAAAAATCACATTAACAAATTTGTATACAAAAAAAGAGCACGCTTCATCAATAGCCAGGCACGGACCAAAAAACTGGTGGAGAAAAAGAAAGAGAGAGAGAGAGAGAGAGAGAAAAGAGCGTGATAGACAAGTGTTGATTGCTCGAAGCTGTTATAACCAAAACCATCTAAATCACTCAACAATTAACCAAAACAAATTGCATTGATTATCAGGAAGCGATACATTCTCACACTAGCGTGTGTGCTGGCCGTGTGATGATCGTGTGTATACATTTTCCACATAAATACATTATTCATATGCGCGCATGAATCAAAAAATGTAAATAGAATCTCTCGTGCATTGTCGGCGTCAGAGGCGGCGATGGTGATGGCGGCAACTGACCGCCGCATGATTGCCGTGAAAATACAATTTCAAAATCAAAATAAAAACAAACGCGCCCCACTGGTTACCAGCTCACCGTGTGTGTGTGTGTGTGTGTGCGTGTGTGTGTTTGTGTCGATGCGTCAATGCTGACGGTTTGTTTATCGCAATATATCTCTATTTGGCATCGCAGCGCTGCTGTATATTTATGATAAAATGCATGCCGACAACAGGTGTACTCTATTTTTTGCATTATTCGCCGATAATTATTTATGAAAATTGTTGGAGAGAAAACAATAAATGTCTAGTCATTGCGATGCAAAATAAATTCATTGAAGTTTCTTTCCGCTGGAATGCTGATTTCATTCAAACAGAACCTCGAACTTTTGACCAATAGTAAAAATTTCATTCATTCGGAATTTTGGACTCGGTCGATGTATTTGTGAACGAAATTCATGCTGTTCCATGAACACTGTTCATTTGTTTGCATTATTTGTGGTTTTTTTTCACTCTCAAATTTCCAAATCGCCTTTTGTTCTACAACAAGTCAGGTCATAAACTCATAATGATAATGTCGATTGATTTTGCTAAACATGTGCACCCTCCTTATAATGTGTGTCCATACAATTGACCATCATGGGAAAATACGCTGAACTTTTTTATTTTCTTCTATCTATTCTAATGCGAACCCAAATGTCATCGGGAATTGAGGAAGAACACAAAAAAATGCTGCAAACTTAATCTGGAACATGTGTGTTTGCTCAAGTAAAACGATTCCCGAACGAAACAATGCAACGAAGAAGAAAGCAAAAATGAATAAAATATGAACGGAATGTAATATGCAAGCCATATGCGAAAATTGTGTGTGCCTTACTGTGTGGAGAAGAAGAAGTGGTATGCAAAAGAGCGACTACGTAAAAGTTCTGTTCGGAAGGACGAATGCTATTTACCTCTTACTTGGTTAGCTTTTGAATACTTCCTGAAATTCTCGATAGCTTGCGCGCTCATTACATCCAAGGACTTCGATGTTTCCAACAACCATCACTAGATTGCGTTCTTCGATCGACGATCATACAAACAAGTGCATTTGAGCAAATTTTGAGCAAATGCACTTTAATGTGACTAAGGTGCATTCGAAGACAAACAAAAATCCAAGACGAAATGCAACTTTCTGTGGAAAATTTTCAAGAATTTTCTTATCTTTTTCTTTCTTCATGCAAATCATGTAGCAAATGATGAATCAATAGCAAATCCTGTAATGAAAATTCCATTTATTTTCAATTTGTGCAAAAAAAGAGAAAAAATGAAGAGAAAAAAAGATCACTCGTGGATGTTGTTTTTTTTTTGTTGTTTTGTTTTGAAACTGTTTATTGTTTTTTGTTTGTATTACAAGATAAAAACGAAATGAATTTACAAATTAAACTGTTTTGTTTGTTTTAAATAACACATAATTTAAAAAAGAGAGAGAGAGGAGTTTAAAAAAAATTAATAACCAAACATAGAATGAATTTTTGTTTTACGAATATTCTTGATTGATTTTTTTTTTTCAATGCATTTGCATTGCGTTACAACTTTACGTTTAAATTTAAACCTTCAACATCCAATTAAGGTACAGTCTGAATCTTTCCCACTCAAATGTAACTGTCTAGCAGTTACATTTGATAAATCCAACATTCGCGTTACCATTCCAATAATTCGTTTTTCTTTCTTCTTCTTCTTCTTCTTTCGTCGTTACATGCACAACATATCGATTCGTAAATGCTATAAGATCTCTCCGTTTTAACACTTCATTCTATGTTATGGTGATGGAACTTTAGTGGCATTTTCTTTTCTTTTTCTCTTCCAAACATTAGATCGTTTCGTTTCAATTTTACTATTTATATGTTATGGATATTCAATTGTTTTGTTACTCTTTGTTTCCTCTATAATTTAGTTCCTTAAATGTTTTGCATTGTTTTTAAAGTTCTTTTGTTTGTTTGTTTGTTGTTCCTCTTATGGTTAAATGGTGATCAAATCCATGCATCCATTCATTCAGTTTTGTTTAAAGCATATATATCATTTGGACTAATTTTGAATAGATCTTTTGCTTTTTTTTGTTTTATTTTTGTTTATGCTTTCCGTATTCGACGTACAATTACAGTATTTTCCGAAAAATGTCGATTATTTGATCATCATCCTTTCTTCCATACAATTTTTAAAATTATTTATACTTCGATCTAAGCAGTCTTTTTTTTTGAATTCGTAGTGATTTTTTTTTAAAGATATTTTCATTCTCATTCCATTCGCTAAAAAGCTTCGATGATGGATGCACTTTATTCTCTTGTTTTTCTTTATTTATTTAGTTTATAATTTATTGTGTGGTGAAATGTGTGTATGCTTTCATTTGGAAAATGTTCCATTGTGTGTAACTGATTTTATGTTTTTTTTTTCTCTTTTAAATTTTGAATTCGTATCCAGCACACATAATTTAGTTCAACTAAATGTACATATGATGCAGTTTGTTTTGCTTCTTCATATTTCCTCACATTATTTTTTTCCCTTCCTTTCTTTCTTTCCTATTTAGTTTATTTATCCCTAGATTTTCCCTTTATCACTAAATCAATTATCATTTTGTTTCATGTGTTTTGTTTTAGTTATTGACAATTTATAAATTCAATTGATTTTTTTTTCCAATATTTAAAATTCGCACAGCTTCTGTTTTTTGCATCTCAGATTTTAACAAATGTTGTTTTTTTTAAATTCTCAATGACGATCGAATTTCGTTTGTAGCTTCAAATCAAAAATTCAACTCGTCTTGTGCAGAAATTAATCGATGTTTGGTTATCGTTTTAGTGTACTTGTTTTTTTTCTCTTTCTTTCTTGTTTTGTTGTTGTTATTCACACAAAGATGATGTTTAGGGTGGGCCCACTGACGGGGCTCGTTTTCTTTCATCTTTGCGTGGGTGGGAAAATGGTAAGTGATAATAAATGGTTTATTTAAAAAATATATATATACGCGTTTAGTATGCAAACATGCTCCTTATCTCTTCTGGCTTCTGGCTCCTGTCTCTTTTACTGTTATTAGCGGCTGAACAAATCCTTCAATCGTATCGCGCGTTTTTGAGTTTTTTTTTTAAATTTAAAAATTATTTTGGATTGGTACTCATGAAGGTTGTTTACTACAATTGGGTATTTCATGTGGTGTGTATTACGGTGTGGAGTATTTTACTCTGTGGACAAAAAACAAATGAAAAAAAAAACAATCAATTAGATTTCGAATAGATGCAAACATTTCTTTCTTCTCATTGAAATTGAAACAGAATAGAATTGTGGAAAGAACTGTTGATCAAATCAAATCAATGTTTCAAACACTCACTTCCGCCAGCGGCAACGGCAGGTGCTTGAGCTGCCGTCGATTGAGATTGCTGAGTGGATGGTTGCTTCTCTTGTGGAAGACTTGTGGTTGGATTTTCTTGTTGGTTGTTTCCGTGGTTTTGGTTTCGCTGGTTGTTGAAATTGCGTGTGTTGTTCCGGAAGTTGCCACCACGATAACCACCCATATTGCCATTATTGTAACCGTTATTTCGGTAGCCCATGTTACGGTTGTTGTTGAAGTAGCTGCCGTTGTTGCCTCCAGGTCGGCCACGGTTGTAATTGAAATATCTGTAGATTGGCAAAAGAAAAACGAATTAACACCAGACTTTGCGATTTAATCGAAGAGACTATTGAATCGATTTAATCAAAAATAAAGGAAATTCGAACAGAAATGAAATGCTTCGCATCCATTTAAATAGTAATGATGCTTACCCTCCGCGACGAGCCGAAGACACACCAAATGTTTCGCTGTTCAGCTTACGTTCAAGGCGCCAATCAGTGCGATTTTTACCCTTTCGGTCGGTAGCGGCTTCACATGAGATATTGTCAAAGAATGACTTCGTCTTGTCATATCCAATGGTGACATCGTCTTCTTCTTGTTCTTGCTCACCAGCACCAGTCTCATTGCCTGAATCGTCTTTCTTTTCAGCCTCACCGTTGACTTGCGGCTGGAAAATCGAACCAAGGAAAAAATGACATGAATAAAATTGCCAATTTCATTGGAATCCATTTAAAAAGATCAGAAAATCCAGTGAAATTCCAATATAAAATCCAAAAGCTGGATATCAGTTACATAGTGATAACTATCGCAACGAAGAAAAAGCAATGCAAAACGAGGTAAAATCCCCTTTTAAATGTGTCCAATTGAAATTAAAGCAAATCACATTATCGAACAGAACGAAGAAAATTTATTTGTAATTCTAATATTGTTTGTATATCCTCTTCTGATCTAAAACACGGCACAAACCAGGGCCGGTGACATTGGCATAACGGTATTTCTGTCTCTTCTACTCTTCCTATCATTTTATACATCACATTTTGCATGTGTGGCAACCATTGCCATTTTGTTGATGTCATCATGGCATTGCCATGTCAACAAATTTACTCGTTAAACAAACTCAAATGAAAAATGCCCCAAAAAGAGCAAACAAAATGAAGAAGAACTAATACCTGTTCGGGTTTGGCTTCACCTTCCACCTTTAATTTGGCCAATGATAAGCGCACCTCTTCGAATTTTGTGTTGGCTTGCTCGAAATCGAAATCACTTTCAAACTTGATTGTGGTTTTCGGTTGGTTTGGACGTCCTTTACCGTTCTGGTTTTGGCGGAATGTTTGCTACAAAATGGACAGAAAAAAAGCATTGCAAAATGAAATTGCCATTTCAAAAACCAAAACGAAAGAGAAAACCACAACAGAAATTCGGATAAAAAGCAAATACCGGATGAAGACCAGGACGTCTTTGTGGTCGTTGATGTTGATTATTGCGTAGATTTTGATTGTTGTTACGGTTGCCCCAGTTGTTACCGCCTCGATTCTGGTTGTTACCTTGATACTGATTGTTACGCTGTGGATTCTTCAAAATGACATTCGAATGTTAGTATTGGTTGAAAACGATTGGAATGTGCGCCATGGGAAAATGCGACAAAAACGTTGAACTTACTCTATTCTCATGCGATCCTTGACTGTCCAAACGACCACCTTGTTGTCCACGGTTATTGTTGCGCCGAGTGCCATCTTTTTGATTAACCTGAACGCCCATTTCAGCCGTTGGGCTCTTGCGCGAATTCAAACTCACAGGTGTTGTTGAACGAGATCCACCAGTAATTAAATCAAGAACGGAGTCTGATTGAGTGGAGGAAAAAAAATGGAAGAAAAAACACCGTTAGAAATGTTCCGAAGAAAAATGATGCAAAAAAGAGAAAAAAAATGCGCTGAATTTGATTTAATTTGAATAACGAACAATGAAAAGAACTTGAAAAAAAGAAAGTGCAACAATTTTGCAATGATAGACGTGAGTTGACTTACTTTTCTGTTGCGGTTGTTGGTTATTTTGTTGTTGTTGCTGCTGTTGGCCGGTTGATTGCTGTTGAGGCGTTTGTTGTTGTTGCGTTTGTTGGTTTGGTTGCTGTTGACCGAACGGCAAACCGGGCGTACCTTGTGGCAATTGGCCACCTTGTGCATTTGGTGTCGACAACGCACTAAACGGTCCCGGTTGATTGTTAGCACCGCCAAATGGTCCAACTTGTCCGCCAACATGTGGCATCACTGGCATCGGAAATTGCGGCTGAAAGTTTGGTTGATTTTGTGCCGAAACGTGCATCTGCATGATGGCCGGATCGTGCGGAACACGTGGAACATTGTTAACAACGCGAATATCTTTGATATCGGATCCACGGAACAAAATATAATCGAAAATCTCCTCTTGCGGCGGAATAGTAAATTGTCCATCGCGATCCTCTGTTCCATAAGAACGCACTATAGAAAAAGAAATGGAATAGAATCGAAAAAGAAACCATGAGCAATGGTTGCAATGAACCGTTATGCACTTTGTGCAAATGAGGTGATTTGACCGGAGTGTGACTTGTATACCGTTATGTGCGCCGCAACGCACCGATCAAAGTTCAAAATGCGGGAAAACACACACGGACCAATGGAGCAGTGGAAATTTACCGATTGCACCACAATCGATTACATTTCAAACGAAAGAACAATTCACATGGTTCGATGGTGTTTGTCGCGATGCGATTGGTGCACTTTTGATCATCGCACTTTTCAACCGATTACTGTATGCTGACTACACGGAATTTATGCAAAGTGGTACGACAAAAAAAAATCATTCGCCCGAAAAACCAAATGAACTCGAATACGATGCAAATCAATTTCAATGTTAACAATGCAAATCATCGGAAGATATTTAAATGTGACATCAGACTTTATCATAAATGTATATATTAGATAGCGTGTACCTCGAAATGCGTTTGCATCACTTAGCGGTATTTTTTTTTCTGTATTCGTGGTACAACAAGATCGCGTCTCTTTCTCTCTCTCAATTTAAAACTTATATGGGCATTTTTTTCGACTTTTCACACCAAATTTAGCACTAATAAGAACTTCAGTGTTATTCTTATTTGCATATTTCAGTTGTTTTTTTTTTCTCCATCAAACACAAATTGTGCTGCGTTTACATTTTTTCTATTCGTTCACCATATAGCGGTCTACTTTCTTTTGTTCTATTTTTTTTGCCGAATTGGCGACACGAATTTTCGATTCGTAACGAAACCAACAATGAATATAAGAAGCAAAAAAAAAGTTGTATTTATATTCACTGATTTAGCATCAATATTGCGAAAGCAGATAAGAATTTTGTTGACGGTCTTTTGTAATTATGCGTAAGTGAGAGAGAAACGGCGGAAAACACAATTGCACAGCTACCGCATAGTGAATATATATGTGTACGCGCAATTTTTTTTTACGTAGTTTTACGATGAAATATCACCGAGAGAGACAGAGACTCTAAGGTAAAATTTACACTTTTCATCGTTCGACTTTCACTTTTTTTACGCAAAAAAAAAGAGAATAAATTAAACAAATTTTCGATACCAAATGGTCGCATTTAGCGCTTAGAACCGACAATCAATCAAATTTTATCAAACGAAAAACCGATTCCATGACGCGGTGGAAAAAAAATTGTTTTGTTGTAATTTATTTATATATGTATGTTAGGTGGAAAAAAAATCAAGCGATAAAGACTTACCATTGGCTAAGGCAATTGTACATTCGTTCGGATCGACAGTGTATAATTGGCCTTCATATCTTATATCTGATTTCGATATAAGGCTAATTTTTGAACCCAATTCAGGCATGCTAGCCATTGTTGAAAATTAAAATAAATTTTATTCGCTGATGACTTAGATGTTAAATGATGATATCCACCATCGAATTACAAGTGATACAACTTATTGTTCGCTAATGGCGTCCAAACGAAAATGCTAAATGAAATTGAAGCTCGGCTGCTGCTGCTGCTGTTGCTGCTGCTATACGATTACGACTGATGATGCTGCGCACCTACCGGTTGCTGCTCCTAACTAAATTGTTCGCCGCTTCGTTTTTGCCGCATCAAACCATTCGTGTGAAAAACACATTCAACTCAACCATTTTGGTGAGTATGGTGAACTATGTATGCATCGTTGTGTGCAAACGTTAGATCAGAATACTGTTCTCGCTGTAGAATGAGTTGAATTTTAGATTGTGCAAAGGCGATTAATAAAAAAAATAAAAATCCAGAGGAAACAGAAATATTTTTCAATGATTTTTTTTAGAGGAAAAAATGATGTTTTGGAATCTACTGCAATTCAGATGTTTCTGAAGTACTTTTAGATCGATGAGACTGTGAGGTGAGAAAAACTATTGGTGAACGGCGAAATACACTTGTCAAATATCATATGTGCAGTTTCAAATTTCACTGGTCCATTTGACAAGAAATTGTTGTTTTCTCTCCGAATTGATGAATGAAATGTTCAATAAAACGCGCCCAATGAAAACTTTTTGTCATATATCCAAAAAATTCCACTCAAACACATGAAATGGGAGAAAAATTGCCGAAAAAAGACAAAAAAAACCCATCAAATCCAATTTCAAATCAGAACCGAACTGCAAAGTGTCATCTGGATGAGGTCGTACTGTCAAAAATGTATGGGAACGTACAGCGCGTGTATTGAACTGCATGTACAACAAATGTCTTTTTTTCTTATATCGCAAACCCCCAGTGTATGTGAACTGATGTAAAATCACTCTGACTTTTCCTTAGTTTTTAAAATGGCGGCCCGAGTGATATCACGGTCTTATAGCGCTGGTCTTTTGAAAAATGGCAATCGTATTGCCGTTCAAAAGGTAATAATTGCATTATTTTGAATGGCATTTACAAATAAATTTCCAAAAATTCGGATGTTTTTCTCGTGCAAAAACCAAGTGGCCTGAAATGTGTGTTATGCCTTAAAACATTCCATCCAATATGAAGTGATGTTAAACGAACGCATACGTCAAAGTTGCAAACGAAATGTTCTTTTCAAGGGGATTTTGTGGATCTTTTGGCCATAAATCTTGAATGAAAATTAACTCCACATCAATTGATCGATGGTGTGATTTGATTTGTGATTGTGCTTTCAATTTTCTATGCCAGAATAAATCACAATTGTCGTTTGTTAAACAATTCATTACATAACCAAATAGCATAGCGTACCAAAACGAATGGACCATACCAAACATTACATAACAAATGAAATTTTTTGACATTTCAGGTGAATAGTTTTTCAACCGGGCCAACGTTGAAAGTTGACAAAAAGGTGAGAAACCGCTGTTGATTTGCAAGCATTTTAAAGAAATTGCCCGAAAAAAACAAATCGATGATCCAATAATTGGTGTGTGTTGTTGTTTTTCTCTCTCTCTCTCTATGGTTCCAGTGTTGGATTGTAGGTACACTCGCTAGTGTAACTGGTGGCGTTTGGTACGCTTTGGAATCTGTTAATGCATCAGATCCCAAAGCAATGCCATCGCCTTTGCCATGGACCCATAAAGATTTGTTGAAAGGATATGATCATGCCAGGTCAGTATTCCATTTTGCTTTCGATGAATGAATTTGACAGAGAGAGAAAGAAAAGTGCTGTGAAAACACCTCAAACTACATACAAGCTGCTCTGTTCATTCATTAAAGTTCAACTAAGATTCGAATCGTTTTCCATTGGCTTTCAGCATGCGACGTGGTTATGAGGTCTACAAACAAGTGTGTGCTTCATGCCATTCATTGCAATACCTCGCTTACCGTCATTTAGTTGGTCAAACTCATACGGAAGAAGAAGCCAAAGCTGAAGCTGCAGAAATGACCGTAAGTTACATAAAACAAGCAAATACTGTTGGAACAAACTGAATCAACTTGTTTCTTCTTTCTCTTTCAAATAAAGGTTGTCGATGGTCCAGATGATACGGGTGCTATGTTCGAGCGTCCAGGTCGATTGACTGACTACATTACGGGCCCATACAAAAATGAACAAGAAGCACGTTTCACAAACAACGGTGCCTATCCACCAGATCTTAGTCTTATTGTTTTGGCTCGTAAAGGCGGCGAAGATTACATTTTCCACTTGCTTACCAACTACACGGACACTCCAGCCGGTGTAAAACTAGGCGAAGGCCAAGCTTATAATCCATATTTCCCAGGCGGTGCTATTGGTATGCCACAAGTCATTTACGATGGCGTAAGTATCTTTCAAACAAGACATCATCTTCACATTACCCAAACAACAATGTCTCATTCGATCCGTAATTTTTTTTCTTATTCATTTTGGTTTCTTTCAATTGTAGCTCGTTGACTATGCCGACGGAACACCAAATTCGGCATCACAATTGGCCAAGGATGTTGTAACATTCTTGACATGGGTGGCTGATCGTAGTCTTGAAGATAGAAAACAGATTGGTATTAAGGCGCTCCCAATATTATTCTTAATGTTTGCTGGCTCTTGGTACGCAACCCGATTCATATTCAAACCATTGAAAACAACCAAATATGAATTCATTTCAAGAATCCGAAAGCAAAAGTTTTAAATTAATTTAAACGAGAGAAACCAACAACAACAACAATAATAATAAAACAAAAACCAGAAACAAAATATTACCATCAATTAATGAAACAAGTGTTTGTGAATAAAAAATTTATTCGAAAAATTGCAAATAAATATGAGACCGTAAGAGTTAAATTAAATAGACTATGGAATGGTGGTGCATTTCTTTTACAGGCATGTTTTCGCATTTCTTATCATTTGATAAAATTTTTGCTCTGTGCATGATTTCCATTTTTGGGAGGACACAACTCACAATTTCTCCATTTTCCATCAATCACAAAGTGGTGTCCGTTTGATTTACATAATTCCATGTCAATATTACAACATTTTTTTTTGTGTTTATTTGAATCGGCATTCTTTGACTGCAGCCAATTCCTACTTTAATCATGGGCTGAAACCGAAACGGTTCGCATAAGAACATTTGTGATTTGTTTTGATTTCTTTTTTCTCAAATTGCTACATTTCACACAAACACAGAAAAATTTCCATTTGAAAACGAATGAATGTGGAAGCATTTCAAAATCCACGCAGTTTCAAATGTCTACGACGATGATGTGTGGCTCGCTCATGGATTTTGGCGAATATATGTGTTTAGGTGTGTGTGTGCGTGAGTACATACGTAAAAGATAAAAGATTTGAATTCGCTGCATCACGATCCTTGTCGAAAGAGAAGAAGAAAAGAAAAACAGCGATTGTCGACTGTGCGACAGAAGAAAACAACAAATAGGATTTGACGGGCGAATAAAGAAAATTATCGTCTAGCTGAAATAAACATTCAATAGATGATGTTTTATTGCCATTAAATTGTTCGAAAGTGTTGCAGTCGCAATTTGAGTAAAAAAAAACGCAGAAAATAAATTGCAAATTGAAAAGTATAGAAACCGAATCGTATTCACCACACGTATCGTGTACAGATTGTCGCAGTGGAATAAGGAATCATCAAATAATTGGAAAGAATTCCGTGTTCGCCATCGAACGAAGAAGAAGAGAAAAAAAAGTACTGCGAATAGAGACCGGGTGTTGGTAGTGTGTAGTAGATGTAATAAGCAACAGCAACACTAGCTCTCATCCCGAGTAGTAGCCGTGTGTGTTGTGTGTATCTGAATTCAGTGTATTTGCTTCGCTATACACATATATATATATATATATATATATATATATATACCGACGACGATATTTTTTTTGGTGTCTCTCAACAAAATTTTTGTTATATTGTCATTGATTGACTGAAAAAATTTCATCATGGCGAAGCAAACGACCGGTGTTGGTAAGAAAATTAATTCAATTATCTAATTGGAATTAAATAAATATTCACGAAATTCCCGTAAACTTTTGCGTCCAAAATCATAGCGAAAAATGTTAAATGCAATGGTTAACAATTGGTTTTTAGCATTTGTTTTCAAATTGATTATTTTCTTTTTCAAAACTCGAGGCGATCGAGAAAAAAAAATCCATTCAGCATTGTGTTTTGATTACTCATGAATTTGAATGATAGAACACTAATTTTTGCACACACAACTAATACCGACGAAATGGAACGAATAAAATAATGCGTGAAAAGAAAAGAAAAAAACAAAGGGAAAAAAATTCAAAGTGTGATGTGATTTACATTTGGGCCCCCAATTCAAGTCTATTTTTTTTTTCTTCGTTCGTTTAATTAAAAAATAATTTTTCATCGAATACCATCGGACAGATTATGGTCATAATTAAATTACCCAACCCCTGAAAGGGAAGAAAATGTACGTCAGAAAAAAAAAGAGATTTTACTCGTGAACGACGTGTATACATACATAGTATTTTTTATACAACAACACAACACAGTGCCACTGTACATACAAAAGGCTAAAATGCGTTTTCGTTTCGTTCAAATATTTCATTTATTATTACGTTTTTTTTCTCCTTTCATTTGTCTTTTGTGTGAGTGTGTTGAACAATATCGATTAACCTCACAAATTTTGCACATTCCATCAAAAATACTTCAAAACCCATCCAGAATTGGTCGGCACATTCGTCGTTCGAATGATAAGCAAATTGTGAATGTAATGGCTCGTTTTTGGCCCGTTTTCGGGCATGTATCAAAACATTCGATACGAATGGCCGATTTTGTCGCAATCACAATGCTGACCTTACCCTTTTTTACGCTCCATTTCATCGCTGTGTGTGTGTGGGTGCGGGTGCGGGTGCGATACCAAACTGCCATTTGCCATTGCAAACTTGAAACAAATTTGGTAAATATTTGGAGGCTGTTTGACATCCGCATTGGTTTTTTTTTTTGTTGGAACTGTGAATATTATGTTGCGCCTCACAACGAATACCTCTAAAATGAAAAAGACACCGAAAATGGGTGGATGATAAATCATTCGATGGATTATTTTTGTTTCAGTGGTTCCACGGAATTTCCGACTTCTAGAAGAATTGGAACAAGGTCAAAAAGGTGTTAGCGATGGCACAATTTCATGGGGTCTTGAAAACGACGATGACATGACTCTCACTCACTGGACTGGTATGATCATTGGACCACCACGGGTAAGCAACTGCCACATGTCAAATATAGACATGCACCACCTCCATCACGAAATGATTCAACACGCTAACGAAATGTGTTTTTTTGCTTCCGTTTTGTTTTCTTTATTCATTTTCTTTAACCGTAGACTCCATATGAAAATAGAATATACTCACTGAAAATAGAGTGCGCCGAATCGTATCCAGATGAACCACCAATGATTAGATTCTTATCCAAAATTAACATAAATTGCATTAATCAAAGTAATGGTGTGGTAAGTATATGTTTTGGGTTTTTCTTCCAATAGGTCCGCCGTTTTTGAATTCACAATCCAAAACGGTGTGTGCCGTTCACTTTTAGTGTTGTTCGTTGCATAAATCCAAGTTTTAAAATGCCATTTTGACACCGTACTTGTTTGTTTGTTTGTTTTTTCTCTACAGGTCGAGCATAGACTGGTTCCGATGCTCACTCGATGGAATCGTGAGTACACGATCAAATCAACACTGCAAGAAATTCGTAGAATAATGACGTTGAAAGATAATTTAAAATTGGCTCAACCACCAGAAGGAAGCTGTTTTTAGTTTGTATATAAAGGTGTTTATCACACAGCAACCACTCTGAAGCGACAAAACCGATTTATAGAATTCAGAAAAAGAAGAAGGGCGGGATATTAATTGGGATGAAAAGAAAGAGAGAAAACAAAGAAAATGTTGCAAACAAGAAAAACAACAACAAACAAAATTAAACAGAGCAAGGAAGTTTTTAAAAGGAGGAAAGAGTAAAAAATGGAAAAATTTGAAAGGGGAAAATTATTGATGACTGTAATTACTTTTGTTCGATTGATTTGCAAACTTATAAATATTACTAAATAATTTAATCACAAGAAGATAAACAGAAGAAAAAAAACCAAAAAAAAAAAATCAAGTTAAACAAACTGAAAGCAAAACAACTTTCAACTGAAATAAACTGTTATGAACCACTCGTTTCTGCCACCACTAACATCTTGAGTGCACATTAAACAAAAGCCCATTTAAAAAAAAGAAACATAAACTACTTAAACATTTGTTTGTAGACCAATTAAAATTAATGTTTGTCATAATGAAGATTCAGATAACGAAAAAGTAACAACAAGAAAACCGCATCCGAATTTCATATGAAAACAACACAACAACAGAAAATTACCATTTAATATTTGATGATATTTTTTGTTTGTTCTGAAAACCTTCTTCTTTCTCTGAACCAACAAGAAAAAACAAACTTTAAACAAAAAATACATCCAAAAAAAACATGCAACACACACTGTTAAGGCGAATAAAGTAATTTAACCGAACAAAAAAAAAACACACAGAAAAAACGTTTAGTAATTTGCTTTAGATTTAATAAATGTTTTAAGCACTATTTAAACACGGAAAAATGAAAAACGCAACTGGAATCGCAACACATTTGATGAATTTCTTTAAAGCAGGGCCAGCTTTACTATTATTATATATTTAATTAATTATGATAAATTATAATGATTTTGAAAGTAAATGGCAAAACACACACACAAACATCGCATCGAAAGAGATGGCAGAATCATTATTCTTTTTAGACCACAAATTTATTGAGCAAAACAAACTTATCGACTAACATCCACATTAGTATGAATAAAAAAATTAATGAAAGAGAAATAAAAATGAGCATAAAATCACACGCAAAATGCAATAAAAAAAAAGTCATCAAATTTCCAATTAGGCCGCCGTTGAGGGCGAGAGAAGCAAAAAATCACATATAAACACACACACAAATTGCAGCAACTTAAAACGTTCGATTCAAATATCTTTGTTTGCCTTAAAGTATTCGCACGTAAACGTAGTTCCAACCATTTTTTTAAAACAACAAAAGAATATCAACTATCAGATGAAGTTTCTTGGTTTCTTTTTAAAAAACAAACAACAACACAAAAGAAGAAAAAAAAATTTACAAAAAATTTAATAATAATAATATTCTTGGTTTCTCTTACTGTTGCTTCGATGAGAACAGTATGCTACCGTTACAAAATCAGGCGGCACACACTGCAGTTTTTGCCGTGATTTGAACCACTGAAAAAAAACATCAAAAAACACACACGTACACATGCCAAGAATCCGAAGCCTATACAATCGGATGAATCATTGAGATTAATCTGCTAAATTGCAATTTAATCGAAATGGTCATTCAAAAGTGTCAATTGAATGATAGCGTTAGACGTCGATCCTCAGAATTTATGAAAGGATAGCTAAGGTGGATGCCACTGAAAATGACTCATTCAGACCGATTTCGCTATTCCATATCAATTTTAGTCGATTCGTTTTGTTTGAAATCATTTTCGATTAAAATGCCATCCTTGATTCAATTGTTCGATTGCATACACTTCGCAGTCTTGGCTCATTTCACCTCCCCCTCCACGAAAGGGCAAGTGTATTACAAAATCGTTCATGCACCAAATTCTGACCATTTCAGCTTTAACGAATTAGATGCATTACAATGTGAGAAAAAAAGGGGAAAAAACAATTTAAAGAAGAAAAACAAAGATGATGAAAAATGGAAAAAATAAAAACATTGCATGGATAAAGCACGAGCGACGAAACACTTGTTTCTCTTACTTTGATAGGTAACAACATTGTTATTAAATATATTTGAATGAAATAAATGAACTGAACGGAAATGGCATTTTGGAGTTTTTTTTTCTCTTAATTTTTCTTTGTATTCGTTTTTCGGGGGAAGAAAATCTTTGGTCGCATTAGGTTTGATTCCGCCTATATGGGCTTATGGAAACTCTAAACAGCTTATGCACAAGTGGTAACACTGTTTAGCGCATTGTCAAAACTTGAAATAATAACACCACCGCTTGGTATGGTTATCGTTAGTAAAGTCGCGTAAACAACATATCAAGCAAGATGTTCTTGAATCGGATTAGACGAAGCTTACCAACGGCAATTCTTCAGTCAAAAGGTAACATCTCTCATCATAACATGGCATCACCGATGTTTTAATCTTTCTTTTTCATTCAACATCAAGAAATCATAACCTCAAATAGTCAAAATAGTCAACAAATCAGATGTTTGTACTCAGGCGAAGAGTTGGGCGTCAAAAAGTACCAAGACTCACGAAAAGTGGTCGAGCATGCCATTGCAAACCATACGTTTTTCAAGACACAGTTCCGTAAACAATTGATGAATGTGGAATACAGCCTAACCCATCTTGAATATGGACTGAAAAATCTACTGCATATTATGAATAACAATGACAACGACATCAGCATTCTCAGGGATGCACTGAAAACGTTGATCCACAAGCAAAATGAATATGAAGGCGATAAATATCGATTTGATACGGTTGTTATGCGAGCATTTCACTTTTTGAATATGCCTGACCAGGCCATCGAGGTAACCCATACTTTGTTTACTAACTTTTTAGGCCGTGAATCTAACACAGTTCTATTACAGTTTTTCGAAGACGATGCGCTGGGTCAACTCTTCAATAAAGTTACCAGCTATCAAATTCTCTTAGATTTACTCTATGAAAATGAGAGATATGCCGACGTACTTCGAATTTATGGAAATCTTACGATGTATGGCCGCTTACATAAGAATAAATACATCGATGTGATAGTCTTAGCTACGTATTACCGACTGGTACGTTCTACTACTTGCCCTTCTCTGACTTTTTCAATGAAAAGACACGTGAAATAACTCTGGATGACACTTAAAATTGAATTGCAGAATACACCAGAGGCTTTGGAGCGAGCATACGCCTTATGGAGTCAAATAACAGAAACTGGAAACAAAGTTCAGTTTCGAAAAAGTCGAACGTTCGTGGCCGGATTGGCGGTGAAACAAAATCGACCCGAGCTGGCATTGAAAATTTTAGAAGGTGAAACAACGTATGTTACCATGCGCCACATAAAACTCTTGGCATGGGCACAACTTGGGCAATTCGACAAAATCTTTGAAATGTTCCGAATTGTACTGAGGCGAAATCAAGATGAGAAGAAGTACAGCCCTGAAACATCGATAGCAGTTGTGAGTTGTATATAATAGTGGGTTTTTAATAAAAAGGAATGAAATGATCCAACGAATTTTTCTTCACAGCTCAATGATATTGAAAAATCACTCAAAATGAAGGGATCAGAAGATGACCGCAAACAATTTCGTGCACTACGTGAAAAAATCGAATCAATGGAATTAGTCACTAAGAAGGTATGTATGTGCAGAGAAGAAATTTTTTCGATTTTCGGTTCGATGATTTGGAAACGATTTCAATGTGTTAAATTGAATATTATTGTCATTTCAGTCGCTGGATGATTTGCTGTGTTCACCGTTCCCCGTACTGCCACAAGCTCATATTTACCATAAAAGAACAGCAAATTAGATACAATGCTCTAAATAAACCCGTATATTTTGTTGTTGTTTTTTTTTTAAATTTTTGCAACTACTAGAAAATAAATCAAAATGGTTTGAATAAAAGGCGCTAGCGTTTGTGGCTTTTTTTTCCGTCATACTGTTTATTCATAAATTGAACTTAATCAAGTTTGGAATTAATGATGATATTAAAAATTTATGGCTTCACACAATCACCTAAATTTATCAAAAATTGAGATTTGTGTTGTTTGCAAAAAGTTTAAAACAAAACAAAAATGGTAGTGTGCGAAGTTATCCGATAAATCTTATTCAACATAGGTTTGTTTTTTTTTATCCTGTTTTCGGGTCTTGGTGGTTTATTTTCTGCAAGAGAAAGAAAGAAAGAAAGAATGAGAATGATCTATTCGGTTGGTTATGAAGAATATTCATTGTTTACCGTGACTTCTTGGAGCTTCGATGGTCATCGCGACTATCGTCTCTGGAACGTTTCTTGTCACGACTGCTGCTGCTGCTGCTGCTGTGCTTGTGTTTGTCCTTGCTACTGCTGTGATTATGCCGATCACGCCCACTGCTGCTTTTCGACGAACTGTAAATTGAACGATCGACACGGATTAGAATTGAACTTGTTTGGAATTTGCAACAAAATAAAATTATTTTCATGTGAAAATCAATGCTTTTGGATTGTTTTTCTTTGTATGTGTGAAGCCGGAGAAGAGGAGCCGTTGTAAAAAAAACATTCAATGTTTAGTGGAATTTTGTGTGAATTTTTGGTCTTGTGTTTTATCCGATTTTTTTTTTTGGAATAGACATAGTTTTGATTAAAGTGGTGCTTTTCCGAATGTACAAAAAACACGGTTAAAATGTTGGCAAATTGTTACGAACCTAGTCTTTTTCTTCTTTCGGTGTTGTAAATCTCTGCATTTAGGAGCATAACATTTACAGAAATAGAACAGAAATTATGAATTTCATCAACAATAATTGATAATATGGCAGACCCTCCGAAATCAAAATTTATCACTAAAAATTTGCGTTCGATTTTAAATTTTTGAAAATTTCCGAAGAATAAGCGGCCAAATTGTTTCTTTTTTTTTCATTCCAATTTCCAAGGGTCTACTGAGATGTATCGATATATGAACAAAAGAAGTACATGACACGTGCCCATAAGTTTTGTGTGTGCATGCTTGAGATTTGTAATGAAAATGAATGTTCTATTTGAATACGTGAAAATTAGGGAATTCATACCTGTTGTGTTTGCTGCTTTTGTGCTTGTCACGACGATCACTGTGGCTGGATTTCTTCTTTCTATCAAACGATTCATCTTTGTTTGAGAAATTTGCATCATCTTCGGCGGCTTCACGTTCCAAATCTGACCAATCCTTGCCAGATTCTTCATCGGATCCAAGTTCTAGTTCAGATTGAGAAACAAAAGAGTTTTACATCCCTTTCTTTCGGTTCCTCCTGTCAATCGATCAAAATATTTACCATCATCATCTTCATCGTCGTCGCTTTCGTCCTCGGATGCTTCAGAGTATTCAGAATCCTCGTCCGATTCATCTTCACTTTCCAAATCGGTGGGCTCATATGCTTCATCCTCCTCCGATTCATCCATACCATCACCCTCGCCTTCGGTGTCTGATTCCGGATCCAAGAACGTCCAACCGCCAGTTTCGAAGAAAGCCTTTGGATCGTCGGTAATTGTTTTCATAATCTTCGTCCAATTCAACGATTGAACACCCTCCGAATATCGGATATCGCATGAGCTAATCACCAAAATTTCCATATTCATCAATACAAACGAAAAAAAAATCAAACTTCCATGATTTACAACACAAAGCTACTTACTTGAGCCATTCCTTGACATGATCGCACATATTCATTGGGATCGCATTCACCATGGCAACCTTTTTGTTGTAGTCTTTGAAAACGAATACCATATCAAAGTTTCGCAAATGGAATTGGACACGTTCGAAGTGCACCAATTCAACATCTTCAAGGGTGATAACGAATGGTGGCCATTCAGTCAAATTGACCAAACTGCCCGATGTCGGTTGCAGTGTAACCGTGCTTCTGAATGGTGCACCAGGAAAGCCAAGCTCTTTGAACGGTGTATCGAATTCCACTTGATTTTTGGTCATTGTTTCGACTTTTTCGGTGAAACTCTTGAACGCTGTCTTCAATTTGTTTCGCAGCTCACGTTCGGCTTGTTCGGCGGCCAAGTCATCGCGATCGTGCATATGCTGATGTTTACCCAAATCGGTGGTGATTTCACCAACTTCCGTATAGAATTGTACATCGATATGCTTCTTCTTGCCAAACATAATGGCGTGCTTCAAGTGGAAGTGCAGCAAAATGATCATCTCGCCGTCGCATGGTTGGAAAAAGGCGCTTTTGATGTTATTGTACAGAATATCGACCTTATCACCACGAACCGATGTGTAACGGAAACCATTTGTGTGCGCCTCCAAAGCTCCAGTCATACGTTTGTTCAAGATATTGGGACGAATGTACAGATCCTTCAGTTTTGGATTACCTTTGTTCGTTGACTGAATCAGAGTGTCCTGTTTCACAAGATCCTCCTTTTCACGTTCTTCGGCTTCACGGGTTCGAAAGCGTTTCTGAACATCTTTAATTAATCGGAACGCTGTGTTCAAATTCGATGATGGAGCCAACAGCTCACCCGATTCCTTGATATTTGTACTGCGATAGGTTCTATTGAGCAAAATCATTTAGTTAAAACAGAGCCTCGAAAGGGCAAAAAGAACGAAATGAAGAAAAAAAATACAACTGAAAGAAACTCACACTTCTTTGACGAATGTGGCATCTGGCTGTGAGTACATGCCAGCTTCATTGCGTCCAACTGTTGCGCCGGGATGGAAGAAATTGATACGCAAATATGTGTAGTCGCCTTCAACGGATTGCGAAATGTTCTTTATGGTTGAAATGTGATATGGTACGGGGATTCCGAAGATGGGCATGATAACGGTCTCATACTTTTTATCAACAAACAATTTCAATTCCTTCACTTCGGGCTCTCGTGGCATTTGATTGATGTTTTTATAGGACACGGTCGATTTACGTACTTTCTCCGTTTCCTTTACGCCATTTTGTTTTTCCAATCGTTCACGTGCTCGCTCGTTCAGTTGTTCGGCCAATTCTCTTTGATGTTGCTTACGCTTCTCTTCGGCATTCTGTTCGGATCGGAGTTTTGTATCGAGCACAGTGGATCGTTTGCCACGGCCCAAGATTTCTTGACCATTTTCGGCATCTTGTTCTTCATCCTCCTCATCTTCGTCACCTTCCTCATTGTCACGCAGGAAAATGCCGATGTTCTTCATCTTCTTTTTCGATTGGGTGAGCACGGTGGCCGGCCCCGATTCATTTACAATAACTGTATCACCGAGGAACAAAGCGTACGTTTTGCCCTCTTTGTCTGAAGCCGCTTTGTTCGTCAAGCTCGCTAAGCCAACACAAACATTGAACACCATGTTTTTTCTTGCAACAGCGTTGCATTTTGGCCCAATGATCAACGAACTTTCACGGAACTCAATGCCAATTGCAAAACCAAATGTCTTCACCAATCGCTCGAGCAGGTCTGGCTTCTCTTTTTTCGCAAATGCAACGCCCGTTTCGTATACTTCACTGAGCTTAGTGCCCGGCACCAACTTTTTCAAAATCTCTTCCTCAAGATTGAGCACAAAGTTGTAATTCTCTTGTACAGTGTCCGACGGATTGACCAGCAATGTTCGTGAGATGTTCGAACAGTAGGATTTGTAGCGGGCTCCAAGTGAACAAACGATCGCACCAAAGTGCAAATAGTTTTTATCACTTGTGACACTGAATTTGAGACCGTAATTTCCACCCGACTGAATTATCGGCGGATAGCACATTTCCAACTGTGATGTGTCTACACCGGACACAAATTTCTTGTCAGTCAATGCTTGTTCGACACCTTCAGCCAACTTTGCATGTTTCACTTTCTGTAAATTAATAAATAAATGGCTTGTAAAGTATTTCGACATACTGTGAAATACTGCAAAATCATGCCAATCAGATTGGAATTTTACTGTTATTGATAAGTGGTGGTGCGTGTGGATACAGATACAAATAAAACATAGATCACTTTAGAATGTACGGTTGATGAAAAAAAAATAACAGTGAAACCTATTGAAATTGTGAACAAACAAATATCTCAGCGCTGATAGTATTGATAGAGGCCTTACCTTTTCAGCATCGATGATTTCCAAAATGTATTCCTTTAAATACTTTCCGAAAACATCAATTGAAACCAAACAGGACTTTTTGATGGTCAACAGTTCCGATTCTTCTTTTGGTGCCATGATGTATGCGAGCGATGCTCCAATATCAATATTTTCGAATTTCTGTGCGCCCAACGCCTTTTGCCATGATTCGCAAAATTCGCCTGGAAAGCCATCTTTGCTGAACACACCGACCGCTTTGCCGTTACGTGATGATTTCATAATATCCAGCAATTTTGCAAAATTTCCCTTATCTTTGTCATTCTGTGAATGTATGGACACAAATTTCATGTGTTAGCATGTCGTCAACATGATCGAACGAACGAACGTGCGGTCAAATACAGCATTTCAATCACTTACCCGATCACGAACGAGCAACTTGACTTCGGGCTCATTTTCCTCGCGCTCTTTATGATTTTCGGCTTGTTTTAGGAACTCAATCTTCTTTTTGCTGGACAGAAAATAGGCTGTTTCAGGCGTGAACAAGCAGATTGTGTCGTTGAGCTCATATCCAAACAGCCATATCTATATTTATATATATATGTGTATATACGTATAAAGAAATATACCAACCAAGAGAAATTAATACGCAATTCTTTATTTGCACAGAGGAATTGTACGCTATATACAAATGGTATTTTAGACGAGAGAAAAAAATACACAACTTCTTGAAACTCACATGAAGTGATATTGATTTGCTGTAAACGGTATCTTCATCGACACCAACGGCTACCATGAGACAATCAACCTTTGAGAGAGCGTCATCGTGTTGTTGATCCGGATTCTACACAAAATGAAATCAAATCAAACGAAAACATTAACATAATTGAGCAAATTGTATTTTTTTTGTTCGAATATAAATTGTCACAGATGACTCAATGTGTCGCTGCCATTGGATTTGAGTGTGGAAAAATTTCGTTCGGAAGCTGTGGAACAATGGATTGACGTTCACAAGCCACAATGAGTTTTTTTTTGTTCAAAAGCAATGCGCCCCATTTAACAACAATTTTATTTTTCATATTTCTCACCTTCCATCCGCTATAGAGACGCCGTATTCGCCGGAAAAATGTGTCTTTGTCCAGCGCAATATTTGACATTATTCAAGCAATTTTTGTTCAATCACCAATTTATTTTTGCGTTCACACTATTTCGTCGATAAAAATTTAAACCGCGCGTTACAATAAAAAAAAGAGTCGGCACAAGTTTCTTGCTTCTACACTGTTTGGCACTTTATGTGTGTATTTGACGGTGTTCGAATTGTGTGTGAAAAGAGTTTGCTGTGTGTGTTTTGTTGCACATCCTCATGCGAGGCGACTCACAACGACGTTTGTCTGTGAAAGTATTTTTTTGCAGCAGCAATATGGCGTTTGCATCGGGTCAGATGGCGGGAAAAGAATACGCAAAAACGTACTAGATTCAAACAAACATTCAAATTCACATGTATCGCAATCTATTTGCCTACTCAAACTGTTTATTTGGATGAATGTAATGGTTGGCGGTTTTTTTTCTGCTGCCTCATGTCTGGGCACATGACATTTTCAAAAAGTTGTTTTTTTAAATTTTTTTTTTTTAATGGAAAATATTTCTAAAAAATAATTTTAAATTTTGATTTTTTTTCCTTGTTTGTGTTTGTTTTATTGCGATTCGCCATTTACTTTATCTGAACCAATTTGTCCATTTCTTAATGATATTCCGAATGGATATATCTAGAAATGTTCAGATTTCTCCAAAGAACCTTTTTATATATTTTTTTTCAAAATAAAGACTCTTTTATGCAGTTTGATTAAATTTGTTTTATATTTTCTTCAATGCATTCATAAAAAAAAACGTTTCTCCTTATAAAGCTTCAAAGTTTGGTATGAAATTGTATTTAAAATTGTCAAGATTTCTTCTATAACGGATTTAAGTAAGATGAACTGCTGCATGTGTTTTCTATTTTGATTGGCTCATTTGACCTGTGTGGTGAAGAAGAGTGATTAGTTTGTGTCTATGTTCGATAACACAAAATTACCTGCTAAATATTTTTACCAATTATTTTTATCCAATTTTTCAACGCGAAGCACTCCATTCGTGTCGGATTGATGAATGAACCAATCGATTTTGCGTAGTATCTCATTAAATGTGGGCCGATCGCCTGGCTCACAATGCCAACAGGAAAACATTAAATCATAGCTAATGAAACATTTAAAACAAAACATTATAAATTCGGAAACAAGAGCACACAATTTAAGTCTTACAATTCTTGGCTGCAATTGTGGGGCTTTGACATGCGATTTCCAGACTTTAGATAATTAACCAAGCAATCAACTGGGACTGTTGGATATGGTGTACAGCCCAATGTCACAATCTCATACAACAAAATTCCGTAGGACCACCTAAAATATCGAAAATCTCTAGCATCTCATTTTGTCTTGAACTAATGAACGGTGAATGTTTCCAATGGAATCGAATCTTCCCATAGAAAGAAAATATTCGAAAAATTGAACGGTAAAACAAAAATGGGTTGATTTAAAGACATTCACGTACACATCACTTTGACTGGTGTATTTTTGATCGGTCATCGATTCCAGAGCCAACCACTTGATTGGAAGTCGTCCTGCTGTCGCTTTCATATATATGTTATCCACATAAATATCGCGGCTTAGGCTGGAAGTAGATGAAAAGTTTATGGAGAAAAATTTACAAGAATATTCTCAATGTAATAGATTTTCTAACCCGAAATCAGCGATTTTAACCGTTTTGTCAGTACACACTAGAACATTTCGTGCAGCTAGATCTCGATGCACAATTTTATTGTTTGCCAAAAATGCCTGTTGAAACAAAGCATTTGCATGTAATGAAGCGAAATTCAAACTGAAGATCTTCAGGTCGACATGAATAATCACTCACCATGCCAGTTGCGATTTGCTTGGCAAACATCAAGAGATCTCTTCCGGTGAGGTATGGCAATGCGTTGTGTTGATCAGCTTTTAGCGGTTTCATTTCATGCTCATCGTTGTTAAACGATTTCGACTGGATGCCATTTTCAGACGAAACTAACAGATCATACGCTTGATTTTCTGCAAAGAGTAGCACCTCTGGATTTACAACACCTTCTCCATTCTTTGTGAGATTTTTCGGTTTATTTGTACATTTGCGATTCACTTTGTTATGATTTACTTCATTGAAATGTGAGCAATTGCAATCGTTTGCTTTTGTCGCGTTATCGATTTCATTTTCGTACGAAATATTGCAAGAATGTTGTTTTTCACACTTTGGCTCTTCCAATGCATGTTCGTCGTACAGTCTATTGAAGATAATATTCTGCATATTTGATTTAGGATATTGGATATGTTGCTCATTCGCTCCGAGCATATTCTTTGGATCGATTGTTGACATCGATCTGTCTTTGAGCGTGATTTTATCAACCGACTTCGAATTGAAGTTGAATAAATCTTCTGGTGATTTTTCGAACGCCGAAAATGTCATAACGCCCGTTTGTGTGGTCAAGTAGAATTGTTCAGGTGAAAAGGCTTCACGGAATTTCCTATGAATGACAATTGGTTTGCTGTTGAAGTTGTTGTTCAATTGATTACACTCAACTCACCTCAAATAGTCCAACAAATTTCCCTCGCTGCAATATTCGGTGAGCAGCATCATTTTATTGTATAATTTGGTTGAATGGCCAACAATTCCAACGATGTTTTCATGATGCCCAACTGATTTCATTAGCGTGATCTCACTTAGAAAGCCTTTGATATCTTCGATGCCAGCATTTTCTACCATTTGAAAAAGGCAACAAAAGCTTTAATTTAATGGAAAATTTTTCAATGAACCACCATCAACATCATTGCTCTTGAATGAAAAACTTTTGAAAACTAAGCAATTTGATTCACTTGATTTTTCCCCATTACCTTTCAACATCTTCACAGCGATAGCTTTGCTTGTTGGTTTCAAAAGTCCCTTTCGCACAATCCCAAATGCTCCTTCGCCAAGAACTTCAAACAATTCAACGTTGGTTGGTTCAATTTCCATCTCATCTTTGTTGTGCGAATGGATCAATTTGCGTAGATACATTTCCTTGGAAAAGATATCCTTTTTGTGCCTCAGTCGATTGCGTCGATTTTGAATAACAACGAATATAAACGAAACGCTCAACAAAACGACGAATGGTGACAGAATGCCAATCACAATGAGAATTCGTTTGTATTGTACTTGAATTTGTTAAAAAAAAAAAAATGAATTACGATATGATATGTTGCCCACAAAAACATGTATAAAAATTGAGTCTTACTGAAAAAGTTCGAATGTTTCAGGTTGAAGCATACACTTGGATTTAGAGTTTGACCACCCGATGAATATGCCATAATCGTTACATCATAGTGTATATCCGAAATATTGACTTCAGGAAAAAACGCATAGCTATCCGACTAAAAGGAAATTGCATACCGAGAAGAAAGACAAAATTGTGTTTACTCGTATCATTTGTTGTGACGTAATCACGAAAAGATAAATAATTTAATCCAAAACCTACACCCGAAACATTTTGTGATACATGAATGCCTTTCGAGTTTAGATTCAATGATACATTATAGTAATCGGGCTGGTGCTTTGGCAAATCCCATGTTACATTTATCCGGTAGAAATCGCTTTCAATCAACTCATACGTGGAATTTATATTGACTAAAGGAGGTGGCCCTATGGAGCATATAAAAAAATTGCATTGTGTAATTTCAAAGTCATTGATCCATCTAATTGGATGAGAGAGAAAATGAAATCGGATGTCTGTCTCTTACTACACTTCTGTAGACTATACTCATGGACTTGCCAGCAAGTCGGTGTGATGAACTCCAAGCTACTCTTATCTCCTTCGATCAGTTCATTCTTTGCATTGTTCCCGTGAATTTCCAGAACATATTCTGTATCAAACTTTAGCATGTCCATCGTTAAATGGTACAACTCAGATGGCTATCAATTTTAAGTTTTAAGAAAAATCAAGTCATTTAATACCTAAAACTCAACACTTGAAGAAATAAAAAAAAAACTGAACAAAACGTTGGTCCAACCTTCAACATTCGGAAAACTTGACTGGATAAAGCTGAATAAGTGTCTCCGTTCGTTGAATATAAATGGAAGAAATAGTTACAAACCATATCTATTATGAAGAAGAAAAAGTATGTTTAATACAGTATATGTTTTCAAATTACTCAAATAACGTATTCACCTTCGGCTGGTTCCCATTCAATGGTTGTTATCAGTTTGCCCAAATCATTATCTGGTGCATATTTCAATTTAATCGAATCGTTCGATATCTTCATGGGTACGTATTTGTCTGTCTCTAGTGTTTTGAATGACCACATGTGAGTCAGGTGCCGATATTCTAAGTTACCGTTGAAAATGCTTGCCGTCACATTATAGGTGGTGTTTTGCTGCAAATTTTCGATTCTAACAATCGGTGAGTCGGTCTGATTGAAAGAGTTCCAAATCAATATTTTACAAGTGGTCTGAGAATCTATCGAGTGTTATTATCTTACAATGTAAACAATTCGTTGTGGAGATTCGATATTATTTTCTTGTAATTTAAACAAGAATAATGATCCTTTGAATTGTCGTTGTTGATTCTCATTCTCAATGGGTTTTGGAATCATGTCATTGCTCAGTTCAATGGTCAATGAATCATCTTCTCGACATATCAACCGAACTGTTTCGTTGCCATCAATTTCTTGCAATTTTACCGTTTTATTGCTCATTTTGCATATATCGTGACAGTTTGATAAAACCTAAACAAAAATAAACCCACATGGAATTCAAAATCTTCACTGTTTATGTCTCGAAATTCTTACCGCCGTTGAATTTGTTTGCATGCATGCAGCCGTGCAGCCAACTTCTTGGTTTAACAACATATCATTTCGCGATGCCTCCAACGAAATGTTGTCACAGCTAACGTTATCAAAAAATAGTGCGATGCAAAATAATTGAACATATTTAAGCACGATTTTATGCATTATTTCACATTAAACGATACTCTATCGCTCTCTTGGGTGTTGAACTTGCCAAATCTAAAATAAAATTTTACTATGAAATGAAATGTTGAGAGGGTCGGCTCCAATTTTATCGTAAATATTTGCATGCGGTTTGGTCGGTCGAAGCTTATTTTCATCATTATTAGACAATAATACGGAGGAAATCCTCTGTCAAGGGCTTGTAAACTTCAATAACATCAACAATTCGCATGAAATGTTTTCTGTTTCGGTTCAATAACAACATCTTAGACCCATGCTGCTGCATACCTTTGTCAATCACGTAATGTGTTTCAATATTTGGATTTTCATTAGAGATTCTTTACGTTTTTCCTTTTTCGTACGTCAACCAGGACGGTTTCTTGGAATTTATCTTATTACGTGGAAAAAATACATGGAATTATATATTTCCGATTCGCTGAGAACACTTTCAAGCGCACTCATATTGCTCTTTATCTGTGTTTCGAACTGGAGAGACATAACAGTAGTTTCACGTCGAACACAATTTTTTTGTTTCTTCGCAAAAATGTACGGAAATATCTTTCACAGCCAGTGAATGTATACAAATTGGAAATTATGTAAGAAGGGGAAATGTGGCAGCACACCTTTGATTTTTCATGCCCTATACCGGTGGTGATAAGGGTGTGCTTGTTTTGTGGACTTATTCATTGAACATTCTTTAACATCACATCAAGCAAATACGATTACAAAGCACGTCGGTTTAGTATATTATATGACTAGCTGTGATTCAAAGTGTTATTACCAACTCAAAAGCATCCAAAATTCATAGAATTTCGATGACTTACAAAAAAGTGTTCGGCAACTCGACTATGAGGCGCTTCGTTTAGATGGAGTAGAAATTAAACACATAACTCAAAATATGGAAAGTTCTTTAAAAGCACCTATTTGATTTAATCGCACGAAGACTTTGAATGTATTCATTTGTACTCGTATTTATTGTAGTATTTTATGAATTGAGAATAACACATACCATGCAAAATATTCCCTCTTGACACAGAATATCTGTGCATATGGCTTCTTCGCAGTAAATCTTCGGAAAATACCTAGATGTATAGAAAATATGTACGCATGAATTGCCAGAAGCTCAAATCATTTGTAAAATCTCCGTAGACGTAACATTATCGCAATCCGATTTGTTTATTAAGTGTTTGAATTGACTAAAAGCCTTAAAAATGATGTTTTTGCCAATTTACTCAAACTCGTATTCGATGAACTCTCTTGCTACAGTTCATTTTATGGGCGTTTCTTCGCGAAATTTCATAACACAACACGATCAAAATTCAAAACATTGGAAAAATGCATGGTTTTCGAATCTAGAATAAAATTTGTCCAACAAATTTACAAAATGAGTAGTTTGGAGCGAAAATGTAATACAGAAAAGTTGCGCGGAAAAATATCAAATGAAAAGATTTATCACTATAGTTTACTATTCAGTATACTATATAGCTATCCCTTTTACGCTCATTCATCATCGACATTTTTCCGCGCAACTCTTCTGTATTACATTTTCGCTCCAAACTACTCATATATCATGTTAAAAACGACAAACTCTTCTGCACACGTGTGTTTGCTAAGTTTTACTATCAGCACGTGATAGGGTGTGTTTCAAGAAGGAGTTGGTTCCAGGAATGAAAAAAAAAACTTTCATCGAATAGGTTTAAGCCGATGAGATACTTGATATTCAACTGAATTTAATATTCACCCAGAGACGTACAGGAACGATACCCTAAAAAAGAGATACTAGAAAGTACGGTCGAGTTTTTTTCTCTCTTCAAAATTCCGGTCAAATATGCGAATACTGATGGATTTGAATGGACAATTTTTGCCTTATTTTGAAATACTTTTCAAGGTTCGCCCAAGACGAATAAATAGAAAAAAAATCGCTTCTTATACGGGAACCGTTTTTCCGGTCATCGACGAAAAATTAATAGGAAATGTCAATTTCAAAAAAGACCGAACCGTCTTTTGACTCGATGAACTTATGTGGAAATGGTTTCGACTTCAAAGCAAAACTCGTACTGTCTGTATGTGCGTATGGATAAACGAACTTCGGGAGGAAGGAGAAACGTATTTCGGGAGTTGACAAAAGCGCAGAGACAAAGGCCACGGAAATTTTACATTTGTTTATGAAGTTGATCCGCAAAAAGAGTCATTAAATAAATATGTTGATTCATATTAAAATATTCGTCTATACAGACTATTTTTAATGGCATTTGGCGGTATTTGGTTCGGTCATCACATGCGTCTCTTTATACAGCGAATGAAAAAAAGGAAGAAAAAAACAACAAACAACATGAGATAGCACACGAGTGAGCGAGCGAGCAACCAAAATTATTATAAATTTAAATTGAAACTTTTTTCCATTTCTTCAATTATTCATTAAAATGGTTTGTGTCCATTGAAAAGCGAATCCCATATACATCATGATGAAAACATCATCTTCCAAGGAAATTGATGGTCTTTTTGCGCGAATTCTCGTCGATTTCAACGAGATGATAAGGGAAAAAAAACCAAAACCTCGTGACCAATCATGGTCTCTTTGTTGTACAATTGAAAATAATGAATGCTCTTGTAAAGGAGTAGTCTTCAATGTGCTTCGAAATGATGTGGTTATTCATCTTATGGGTTAAGTTTTTTTTTGTCCTTGCAAACAATGAATGTACACAGAACATTACCAAAAAGGAACGTTAATTTTCAAAATGATGTTTTTCGTTATGGATTTGAATATAAAACAAAAGAAGATTGAGCAGAAAGAAAAATGTTATACCAAAAATTCAACGCAAATTCGGCACAATCGACTTTAAAATATATTCTAATTTTTCTTGTTTATTACAAGAATAAACATTACACAACCAGTACTGAACTGTTATCGCTGAATTGTTGATTGTCAAACAGACAAAAACGATTTTCGACGCCCGCGAATTGAAACACTGTACACGTACTATCGTTCAACATGAGACTGAACATGCGAACCATCGCCTTTTGCACGCTAACACACATCGGCCAGCTAACATATTTCGTACATCAACGCGATAAGCTTCGTCGATTTTTCTTTCTTGCGAGCGCAAATAGTGTAGACGGCAACACATTGCAGCTACCTACGGCCAATCCTGGTAACTTGGCAAAGCGGAAAATAACGGTAAAGCCCATTTTATATTGCTATAGCATTGTGACCATTGAACACATAATGCAATAGGAGTTCTATTACCAGCATATTTTGAAAACAAGGTCTGTTTTGATCATTGTACTTTTAATGTTTTCATTCCATTGTCAAACATTCGAATTGATTCATCGGATGAATTACATACACTCATTCAAGTATGCATCAAATACGAAATCCATCAAAATACCAATGCAACAAAAAAACACTGCAAATACACTCAAATTGTCTCTGGGCAATTGAATTTAATGCTATTCCGTTGTTTTTTTCGGTTTTGATTATGCACTATTTTTGGCTTAAATTCTTAGCACTTTAGATGCTGTTTCCAAACTATGTAATTTTTTTTATACCAAAAATAGATATTTAAAAAAAACGAAAAGAGAAATAGAAAAAAGACCCACGGAACATTTGAATTGTATGTGTAATTACTGTATTATTGTACTAAACGGTAGCGAAGTACTAGATCGCATACCTAACCAATCAGCAAACTGTCAACCGGTGTCAATATAAACTACGTGTCAATAGCATTCTGGAAATCAGAAGATATACACAACTTTTCGGCATTTATCAGTTTTGACTGAAAATTATGTAAGTTTTATCGTTCGTCATACATTTTCTAGCATTTAAAAGATTAAAATTTATGAATTTCCTCATTGTAGCATGATCACCGACATTCAATTGGCTATTTTCTCCAACGTTTTGGGAGTGTTCCTGTTCCTCTTGGTCGTTGCCTATCACTACATCAATGCAAACATTGGACGGTAAGTTGAAACAATTTGACGAGTCACACAAGAATAATTGACAACATTGCATTAATATACACTAATTATGGGTTGTTCGTCTTCTTTCAGGCCCAACAGTATTCAGAACAAACACAAATAATTTCGAACATCATATTCATGGATTTAGTTCTAAGCCCAAAATGAATTTGTGCAAACAATTTAAGATTTTTCAAAATAAATAAGTAATTGCTGTATCTGTGTGTGAGCCACCATAAAATTACTTGGTTTTGTTATTTGCATGCAATTGAGTGATAAATTCGTTGATTTTTAATGATCGCGCATTATGTTCAATGCGTCGATTTTATGAAGTTCTTCGATGCGTTGCATGGCTTGCAATCATCAGTCGCTTTAGATAACGTTATTCCAATTATGGTAAGTGATTAGGGCTTGTGATTCGGTTCATATTACCAACACGAATGGAATCAACATGAACACATGACTTACAAAAATAAGCTGTCGATATTTTTCAATAGTTGGTTTGTCTTTTGAACCAGAACTGAATCAGCACGAAAAAGATTCATTATGACAGTGATAAATGCTTACATCAATTTGCGGCAAATTTCGCTATATGTTCATATGAAAAGATGATATGAAGGCAAGTGTTCACCAGCTATGAAGCCAAGATCTTGCTATAATGTTACAATTGTTATCAAAAATTGATGTAAACGATCTAAACTGCATCCGTTTCATAACACATGACAGAAAAGTTGAACTGAATAATATCAGACCATATCCACAATGTTAACGTTTAGCATTGAACTCAATTTTCGACGTCAATTCAAGAAATTAAAGTTTCAGAACAGTATCGAATTATGTTTATTTCGGAATCATCAAAACGGTTAGCCAAAAAATATTTTGTTGTCTTTCGCAAATGTCAAATCGCATCTGAAATACCCCGAGCTGATGCTTAACGGTAACTAACACAGCACACAGCATATTCTGAGAATTCACCGCAGACGTACCACTTTGTAACCGAGTCGGTGTTGGTTAATCTGTTAGCGTCGGTTTTCGGTCGTGTGATATGCCTCAATCGGCGCACAAAACAAACAAATGATACGCACAAAAAACAGTAGAAACACAAAAGTTGAAAAGATCTGACAGTTTTGCATAAATACTCTGCGAAAAAGTGTTTCATCTGTGGTGTGTAAACAGGCAATGCAAACATTTAAAATGAAACGGAACTGTCAAACCATTTAAACATTAAAACAAAACAAACATAAAAACAAAAACAAAAAATGGTTACAAATACCAGGTAAAGGAAGTCATTAAAAATCCTAATGACTTTGTTCCGATTGAAAGCATAATTTTTTTGCATTGGTGCTGTTAGAAACACAAACATTATGCACGTTTTGTCGGATTTTTTTTTCTCGAATTATGAGTGTGTCAATCTTTGCAAACAAGACATTAGCAGTTCCAAACTTGAGACGATCGGACAGCTTTGCTTAACGGTTTTTGTTGAAATAGTGTTTCGATTGTAAAGTGTTTTGTGTATGTTAACTTTCAAAATAGAAACAATTTCACAAGAGAAAGTGACATTGAATTCATTGAAAACTCATGTTTAGTTGCAATTGGTGTGCATATCTGTCTTCTTTTGAGAAATTGGATAAAAACAATCGACCAGTCGATCAAATTAAGAGAATGCAATCCGTGTTTTGATGCTATAAATTGGTTTATTTTAATACATGACAAAATGCAGTCCGTATTGATTAAAATGGTTCGAATTCTGTGCATCGTGCTAATCTTTCAACGAATCAAATGTGAGATTCGAAAGTTGGAAGATGCATTCGACAGTCTACAGATAGAAAATGTTGCCGGCTGCACGGCAAAGTGCCTGCACGGCAATTTTACAACGGTAAAAATCAATTAAACACAAATTGAATGAAATTAGTCTTTGAATTACTAAAAATTGTGATTTTAGGTTTTTTCTGGCTGTTATGAGAGTTGTATTAAGACAAAGCAGACGTTTCTGTTGAATAGCATCAATAACAAAGACCAACAGATTCATCTTATTTGTCGAGAAGTGGATTCATTAACCGTTGAAGTCGGCAATGGCTCAAAGATATTCGAAAATTCTATTTTTCTGTTAGAAGTACGAACAAACAGCAGTGGACTTCCACTGCGATTGGTTTACCTGGTAAGTTGCTCTCAGTCAAATGTTTAACGTTATTCAAGAATTTGGCTTGGAATTGGAGCTTCGGCTACCATATGATGCTTTGAAAATGGTCCACTTTGAAGAGTGTGCCGTTTTGTGACTGATTTGGCACAGACTTATGATGTAAATTCTGTCATTTTGAGCTCTCTTCGGTGGTATTTCATACTATTTTGTGGCATTTTGAACATCAAAGCCAAATTCTTACGAATTTTTTTTATTGAAAAGACATTCACAGCTGATTTTGGACAAATTCTCTGACTACATTGTATTCAAAATTGTCTTAACAGAGCGATTCATCGATTATGAAGATAGAAAATTTGCAAAGAAACACAATCTATACCGTGAACACAAGTACGTTTAGTGAAAATTTTGTGTATCGGCATTTCTCGAATGTGGAATTATTCAAAACGTTGGACAACGAAGGTTACATACCGAACCCGATATCGAATGAAACGATCAAACTGGGCTACAGTGTGCAAAATAGCCAAGGACCACTTTTAACGACAATCAAATGGGATCCAACAGACGGTAGATATTCCATTTGATTACTTACTACTAGATTTGATCTTTGTTGTCAATTCACACACTTTGTTCATGGTTTCAGACAAAAGTTGCAACTATTACATCCACTTGTATGCGACAAGAGATGAGAATTACCTTCGTGAGCAAAACGTTCGCAAACTGCAGGTATGTGTACAAGCTCATATGGAGAAAATGTTTTCATATACCTCTGGAGGTGTTTTCTATAGCTATTTTATTAATCTAATCATGATCCAAAACCAATTAGCCTATCGAACTCTACCATGTGGAGGAGAAAACACTAAAATTCGAAACGGAGTATATGATGGAGATTCACGCAGTGAATGGTAAACATCCGAATATCATCGGAAATAAGAGTACGATTGAATTTATAACACCAACCTGTTGGGAATTCCATGGATTCGATCTCCAGAAATGCCGTAAGATCGTTTGCTTTTATTTCCAGTCAAAAAAAAATGGTTCATGGTCATCTTTTCTGCAGGTCCACCACCTTTATCAAATATAAACTCCACACATGAAGATCTCGACAGTGGTTCTTATCGAATAAATGTCACATGGGACATGCCCAAAGGCAGTCCAGACCGTTACGAAGTTTCGATAAATCTGTATAAGAACAAAGGAAACATCCTATCGCAGAATGTTTCTGGGGTAAATGTGCACAAAAATCAAACGATTTTCATTCGCCTAATTCAAATTTTCATTTTAGTCGAAGAATTATGCGTATTTTTCTGAGGTAAACACAACGGACATGTATTATGACGTAGAAATCGTTGCGTTTTCTAAGGGAGGATATACAACGAATCCAATCATTGAATTCAGCCTGAAGAGACAAGACAAACACAAAGGTGAGGCCACACTCTTGACAAACGTTCAGATGTACAATTAGCAATATAAACGATCGAGAATGTTCTTTATGTTGGCTAGGAAATCACACAGTCGTAGCGATGTGCATATTATTACCATTCGCTGTTCTATCAAGTCTATCGATCATTTTCCTTGTGATTCAAAATCGACGCAGTCGGCTGAGGCATAAAAAAGAGCTCTTTTCAAAGGATATGCACCTGCTCAAACTGATCCAAACGTACAAAAAAGATGAAATGGAAATCAAAGCATCCAATGTTGATCTGTTTGAAGTGCTTGGTGAAGGAGAATTTGGGATTGTGAGAAGAGGACTGTTGAAACCAGCAAACAGAGTCATCGCTGTGAAAATGTTGAAAGGTAGAGAGAGTAAAATTAAATGAATCGAATTGTCAGTCTAAGAGCGATTGATGGTGCATCATTGAGAAATTGTCCATTGCATTTAAGCTTTTGTTACATTTTGAAAACCATTTTCAGAAAATGCTGACATCGAAGATATCAAAGGCTTTTTAAGTGAGATCACGCTGATGAAATCAGTTGGGCATCATGAAAACATCGTTGGAATTGTTGGCCATTCAACCAAAATATCCGACATGATGCTGCTCACCGAATATTGTAGCGAGGGGAATTTGTTGGACTATTTGAGGTGAGTTGTAATCAGTTCTATTGAAAAAAAAAACCGTTTTGACAGCAAACCAATTGTCATTCATAGAAAATTCCGCGAAGCCTTTCCACCTGAATCGAATTACGATTCGAAGTTGGTTGACAAATTTACACCCGAAGACAAATCGATTTCACTGCAAACAATCGATCCAAAGAATATGCTCGCAGCGAATGAGCAACCAGCCCAATCAAACACGCAGAGTATTGTCTTCAATAGGCTGTACGACGAACATGCATTGGAAGAGCCAATGTGTGAAAAACAACATTCTTGCAATATTCTGTACGAAAATGAAACCGACATCGCAACCAGAGTTGCTGAAGACCCGGCGGTGTTACTGTTCGTAGAAAATCGATCGTATGATCTGTTGGTTTCGTCTGAAAATGGCATCCAGTCGAAACCGTTTAACAACGATGGACATGAAATGAAACCGCTAAAAGCTGATCAACACGACGCATTGCCATACCTCACCGGAAGGGATCTCTTGATGTTTGCCAAGCAAATCGCAACTGGCATGGTGAGTGATTGTTCATGTCGACATGAAGATCTTCAGCTTGAATTTCGCTTCATTGCATGTTGATTCGTTTTATTTCAACAGGAATTTTTGGCAAACAATAAAATTGTGCATCGAGATCTAGCTGCACGAAATGTTCTAGTGTGTACTGACAAAACGGTTAAAATCGCTGATTTCGGGTGAGAATAATACATTCTTGTGATTGGTTTTCTATATAGCATAACATTCTATCCATTCGCAGCTTGAGTCGCGATATTCATGAGGACAATTTTTACCAGAAAAGGACTGCAGGACGACTTCCAATCAAGTGGTTGGCCCTGGAATCGATGACTGATAAAAAGTTCACCAGCCAAAGTGATGTGTACGTGAACTTTGAAGATGTTTCAATCAAAACAATGCTGAATGTTATCATTTTTCTCTCATTTAGTTGGTCATATGGCATTCTGCTCTATGAAATAGTCACAATGGGCGATAAACCATATCCATCTGTTAAAGGAGTAGATTTGCTTGACTATTTGAAAGAAGGAAATCGCATGTCACAGCCCAAAAATTGCAGCAAAGAATTGTATGAATACTTGCGTTTGTCTCAAATAGGATATTAATACGATTTGGTCACATTTTAGCTATGACCTGATGCGATCCTGTTGGCATAATGATCCAGATAAGCGGCCCGGCTTTGCGGATATTTCACTAAAAATGGATCAGTTCATCGTCAAGACAAAAGAGAATGGATTGCCAGTCGACAGATTAGAATCAGCAACATGGTAAGCTTCCCCGAAAGACCAGACAATCAATGGGAAATAGTAATTGTGCATTTTTTTATTTCAGTTGCAGTTTCGATGAGCACCATAAAGCTGAAACTACCCGTGATAATGCATATCTACGGCCATTTTAAACAATTTTTGTGATCAAGTTTTTTTTGAGTCAAGAGATTCAATTTTAGACTAGAATCAAGAGATTGATCGTTAGATAAAGAAGTCACAGTTAGCATTTTGAGATTTCGGGCATCCAGAGATAATGCCTATATAGTTGTGACATGACTCTAAATATATCGATCGAAAAATTACCTTTTGTTTTCGATTATCCATAGCACTGGTGAAAATATGAAAGAAAAGGAATTGTACTAAAATGTGTTCTTTATTCGATTAAATTTGTGACAATTTTGTTCTTGCAGTGGCATTAATTACAAAAAGAATTTTATCAATCCATAAAAATGATACACATGAGTATATATTTTTTCCATTGTTTTATTATTATTGATTTCTTTATTATCTATTGCCTAGCTTGTGTATTCAATTTTTAAATGATCAATTATTGCATCATTTAACATTATTTAATTGACCTTTCACTTTCATACAACAATTTATTGTTCGGAGATGAACGTTTTAAACGATTTTTGTTACACGGTTTTCTGTTATGCATCATCATTGGTTCGGGCTAACGGGTCATCGCGATCGATCGGCGGCGGTGATGTTAATACCTCGACATTTTTGCTTGGTCCTTGTGTGAGGTAGCCTGCTGTTGGAGCAACGCCTGTAAAGTAAAATAGAACGCAGAATATTACAAAAAATCTGATCTTCCAAGGTACTGTAGAAAAATACTGAACAAACCGAGTATCTTACCTGTTAAATATCCGCGCACATTCGTATCCGTAATGAATAAGTCATGTTTTTGGTCACGAAACTCAGCCCAAATGTGATTCGAATTGAGTAGCTGAGATACTTTATCACCGTAGCTCAGGTTATGTGTCATCGCTTTCAAAGCAGCCACAATTTGGGCCTTAACCTATTCAAAATACAGATATTTTCATTAGATCGCTGAATAAAGTAATCAACTAGTCAATTATTCGTACCATTGATGGGCTGTCTGTAAACTCTAATCTACTGTCCAGGATTTTCAGTAAATATGGAATTAAATTACAGTCCAATGATTGGCGGATGAGCGAATCCTGTATGATTTGAATACAAATAGAGTGATATTAAGTTAAAAATGTTCGAATTTGATTAAAAGATGTCTAAATAAAATGTTCAATACGCACGTGTTGGCATTTGAATAATCGGCTTAATGTTTCGCATGTAGTGGCTTGCAATTCTTTATTATTTTCCATGCATTTCTTGAGCGAGCCTATGCATTCAGTTTGTGATATGGCTTGAACACATACCTGAAAATGGGATCAATTCGTTATGAAATTGTCTTTAAATTACCAAATTTGAACAGGGGACATTACCTCCGATAGTGAAAGCTGATGAAGAACTTTTAAGGCGCTTTTCGGTTGAATGGATAACTGTGTAAAGAATTTGGGTATGTGACCGAGCACTGGCACGGCATCGGCTAAATTGGGCTGAGCATGAAGTAGTGCAACCAATGCATTCGTTGACACTTCGAGCGCTTCCTTCTCTTTAGCCGTTGTTGTCCGATTGATATTGATACTGATGAAATCCAATAGATCGGATAAGAACTGCTTGGGTTTTCGCAATGTCCAACATGGATTACTAATGAATAGCTTCAAGTAAACGCCCGACACAACGAGTTCATCAGTTATGATATCCTTCAATGTGTCTGGATCCTTCCACAATTGTTTTGGATTGGCGATTTGCTGCTTGCAAAAGCTGTTGCTATGATTTAATACTGAATCGATGACATTGTCTCGTGTTTTGTCATTCCATATCAATTCCGGATGCTCGTGCACTGACTCAAACATCTGAACGGCAATCTGTGGATTCTCGATCATTGCATCCAGAAACACGCCCGGCAAGAACTTACATACGGTTATTCGAATCTAATCGAAGAGATAAAGAAAAAAGAATATGAAAAAAATGTTGAGAAGGAATTTTTAGAGCTTGTGAACTCACCTTTGGTCCACTGAGCTTGTCGCTGGTCATTTTACCAAGGAGCTCTGAGCAAAATTCCCGAATTTGTGGATTGCGTGAGCTGCAAAACAAATCCAATAGGTAAACAACAGCACCTTTAGCTTGAGCCTCTTTGACCATTCGTTGAACATTCAACAGACCGGACAGTGTTTCCAACACTTTCATTTGGCTGGCCTTCAATTCATCATCTTTAAGTGCAATCAGGAATTTGCCAAGAATTTCACAAGCAGCTATGTCATTGACACATTCCTTGTTTCGAGATACCAACGAAACGATTTCCAATCCAAGTGTTTTGATCTCCTTAGCACGTGCACCAAAATTCGTTGACACCAATCCGAACAGCATATCAAAGTGCCCGATGCATTGTAGCTCAACGTTTGGATTCGATTTTATCACAGACACCAATGCCTTCAATACCGATATGATATTGTCCAATGGATCACCACATTGAGAATTGAAATCACATTTACTCGACGTGGATGCATCAGATACCGATTTTTTCAATTGATTACGCGCCTTTGATCGATTGTACTCAGTTAGCACATTATTGAAACTATCCTGGCTGCCTGTGCCGCCCGATTTTTTCCGTTGCGGATGATTCGATGCTAATGTTGGCATCAAAATTCCATCAACGCTGCCCGTTCGTGTGCTACCCGATTTGCTTGAAACTAAATATGAATAGCCCTGCTTTAAGAATTCCAATAAATCAATAACAAACGAAACCGGATTGTTGATTGGAAACGTTGGCATCTCATTGTAAATACGAATGTACACTCCAGCGATTTGCAATTCATCTCTGTGCAATGAGGAAAAGATTTGATATGGTTATTTTTCAGGGATAAAAATGAAGACTAAAAATGAAAAAAAAATGTATTCAATAGCCCACCTGTGAGCGTCAAATGAAAATTCAGACACAATATTCACAATATCAGCGATATCTTCGTATTTTTCCTTTGCACTTGTCGTTCGTTGATGTTCCAGGAAGTCGATCAATTGTGTTCGCGTCGCATTATCCCAAATGATGTACGGATTGCGTGTATTCGATGTAAGCACTTTCAACACTTCCGAATCGCTATGCGTGGCAAATTTATCGGTGATATACTTGGTAAGCAGTCGATCGACGATTTTCTTAACAAAAAAATTCGTTGGAATTCCGCTTATCGTGTATTTTCGATTGTTGGCAAAATTCTCTTTTTCCACATTGGCCACTTGTTCCGATTCAAACACTTCTTCGCCATCGCTGATCTTCTCACCCGTTGCTTTATTTGGATTGTTATTGTTCATTTGGATCGCATGAATGGCATTGTTTTGTATTATATTGGTTGCGTTTGAGGTATATGGAGAGGTTGTTGATGGTGACGATTGAGCTGACTCCTTCATCGAGCTTCCACCCGACGCCGTACCCGTCGGAGTAACAGCCGTATTATACCGAATCGCTACGTTCAATGGATCATTTTCATCGAGGACCAATTTTAATTCATAGCCACACAGTGCCACAATCGATAGGATTGACATGCGTGCCAAATTATTGGCCGATTTTTGTTGATTGGTCTTTTCGCTAGTGTTCACTCCGCTCTCATCGAGCGTGTAATCATAGTCGAATAGGAACAACAATAACGACCAAAGCACACCATTCTTCACTAGATTCGATTGCAACTCCGAATTATTGGCTGCTAAACTCGTCACCAAACCAACGGACAGCGTATGCTAATAGTGAACAGGGGAAATGACTCAATGCCAATGAAAATAAATTATGCAAAAATGACAACCATTACTCACTTTGAAATACACCACGCGGCAGACATCGGTGATAAGCTGCGGCAATTCAATGATTTTGCTTTTGCAATTTTCAAAGTTGCATGCCACTTCAAAGCATTTGGTTATATTCGATATAATTTGATAATGCACTTCGGTTGGCTTTGAATCAACGCCCATTATAGAAACACAGCGAGTGTATGCTTCAAGCAGAGCCTAAATTTGATCGGTAAATTATTATTGGAGTTTTATTTAAACCGGACAAAAATCGAATCTCTTCGAATAATTACCTCGATACCATTCTCCCGTCGGAGTTCTTCGGCATTTAGCACAGAACAGTACACGGTATGATAGCAAAGTTCTGAGGCAGCTGTAAGCAGTGGAACTTCCTTTGAAAATAGTTGCTCATCTTTCGTTTCCAATCGAATTGTTTTGATCAATTGTGGATATCCAGCATATTTGTATGGTCTCAACTCTGAATAAGTTCAAAATATACTTTAGATTTATAATCCAAGATACCACATTGTAATCACATTCAACTCACCATCTGCATATCGATCAAAGAGAATGCTTTGCGTTTGCAAAATTAGCACAATGTTGCTTGGATTCGGGCCATTTGTGCCAAGCACCGATCTGGAGCACAGAAATTCATACGCTGCATTCACACGTTCAAACATTTCACGCCCATTTGCATTCTTGTCCGGATGGTAAATTTGGGCCAAACGATAGTAGCTTTTGCGAACGAGCGTCTCATCCGGTCGCGGATGTTTCGTTAAATCGATGCCAAGATTTTCATAAGCCTGTTGTATAGTCATTTGAGATGGTTTCTTCTCCACCTCCTTGCGCCATGCTTCCAGCGTGTGTTTCAACAGTGAAACCGGATCGGATATCGGCCAATTGGGAAACTTTTTCGTATCACATAAATGACGTAAATAGAATATGTGACAAAACAGTTCGTTTTCAAGCTGTGGATAGCTAATCACAGGTATCGCCAAATATGGGTAACGTGCCATTGTATGCCCACGCAATTTCGGTGTAAAATCAGTCAAATGTGCCGATATCTTTTCGATGAGTAAGCGTCTCATTTCAGAATTCCAAATCACCTCCGGTGTATCGAACTCACCCAAAAATGTTTCGGCAAACTTTTCAGCACTGTGATTTTCCAAGAAGCATACCATTGCTTCTGGCAGCAATTGACCCAATATGCTCCGATGCATGATTTCTGATTGCTGTGCCGACTCTTCGTTACGGAACGCCTGTTTCATATGGGTCATTTTTAGGAAACGTGCAATTGGCAAAATATTACTGCCGGTGTACATGAGCATAAAGTAAAAGACTCCAGTTAAATGAACTTTTGGCATTTCGGGATTATCTTGCATAATTTGACACAAAAGCGTTGCCACTCGTTCCAGCAAGCCCGGGTCATGGGTCAAACACACTTGAACAATGTGTGGCAAACAAACAAACTCCGAGAGTTTTCGCGATAGTTTCGGCCCTGGTATCAATACCGCTTTGCCATCGCGTGCTCGACTCGGGAAGAAGCTCGTGCACTTGATCAGAATATCCAAAATATGCGCAGCCAATTCCGTTTCATCGTACAATGGCGTTCCTTTTGCCATCAAACACCATTTCAATTGAGGCAGCTGTTGCAACGATCGCCAACCATCCATTCCAATTGCCCAGCATCTTGTTCGTGGCGTGATTACCTTTTGATTCCATAGCTCCTTGAGCTGGAATCAAACATTGAATTATTTAGACATATTTTCCCACGATTGAAATCTTCGAATTACAAATTCGAAAATATTCCATTCGAAAAAGGTAAACAAGTTTCCACAAGAAGAAAAATCGAAATTTTACCTCAGAGAATGTAACTGGCCCACAACGTTCGGATTTCTCATTTTCCTTTTCAATGTTATAGTACCAGTCTTTTTCTTCCTGAAATCTTTGATTCGGTCCGGCTTCAATCACATTCGTTTTTGTATTCGGTAGTGCACGACCTTGGTGCAAGTGTGCCAGCGTTATTAGGTCAACCAAGCAATTGACGTGTTCAATCAATGGACGACAATTGGTTTTGTTCAAAACAAGACAATTGATAAGACCGATCAATGCGTCACGCAGAGCAGGCGATAAACACTGTAAAGTGAAATGATGGATGGAGGGTAGTTAATGAGCTGATTTGAATATAAATTTGGTGGTAACGATTGATCATATTTAAATCAAATGCTTACGCGATCCAATAATTGAAGTATGTAGCTCATATCACTGAATTGACCAATCTCCTCATGATATCGTTTGTACACTTTGGCCAATGCCTGCAGAGAGGTTACAGTCAGCTGATCATCGTTCACACGCTGTCGACATAGCACTCGACGATAAAGCGCATTGAATAGTTCAACTCTGGAACAAAAATTCGTATAACATTATAGTGATCCATTCAAGCAGTTTCACTTTTTTGGAAGAAAAACGGATTGTACTCACGGATTTTTCACTAAATGCTGTGGCCAATCGTCTTTTTCAAGGATCAATCGAATATAATAGTCACCAATTTTTATCTCTTCAGCCAAACACTGATAGTTCACTTCGAACTCTTCATAATTCCATGCCAATACAATGTTCCCTGATAGTTCTTTATCACTCGAAAACTGTCTCAGCTCATTTTCAAGGCAAACACGCAACTCTTCTCTTGTCTGGAAGCAAAGACACACAAAGATGTATTTGGGATCCTCAATTGGGCTTAACTACACTTTACAGACACCTGCGGAAATCGTCAAATTTATTTGTCATTATTTAGCTAAGGACTAGTGCTACACAATGGTATATGAGTTAGGTGGCGCAACCCCTTAGGTACCCCAAAAAGGGTGTTTGAAGGGCGACCATGAAAATCAGGGTATTTACACCAAAGGTCATATCTCCCCAGCCATGGGAGGGAGGGCAATACTCCTTGGGTCAAAATTGTAGTACTCGTGAATACCTATCCAACGGTATACATAACTTTCACATTTGTTTACGTTATGTTCGAAAAACCGTTACACGAAAAAATCAAATTTTTGGGTCAAAAAGTAAGTTTATCTCCGTTTTCTGGGTCATTGGGTGGTTTTATCGTTGGGGTGTGTTCGGGAAAATTGTAGAAGAACTCAAGAGGAACAACTTTGCTATAGACCATTTTGCCCCATCTCCTTATGGCAGGGCAGTATAGCCCCCGGTATCACTCGAACAAGGTCAAAATAATAAATACTGAATATTTTCTTGTTCTTAATATCGTACAAGTGGCACCGCATATTAAATAACAGTCTATATATCACTCCCAAATATCAGTATAACACATTTGTATACCACTATAACAGTTTGTATTACACATTTTCAAATGTCACTTTTACGTACAGTTTTAATATAAAAATGGGAGGGCGGTTAGAAAGGAAGCACAAGACCGAACGAGCGCGCGCGCGCGAGTGAAGGTCTTGTGCTTCCTTTTTAACCGCCCTCCCATTTTTTCCGAAATGAAACCCCATATACATTTAATCAACCCATTATAATGAATAGAATGAAATAAAAATGGGAGGGGGTGGGAGGGTCGCGCGCGCGCGCTCGTTCGGTCTTGCACTCCCTTTTAACCCCCTCCCATTTTTTCCGCGTGGTAATTGAGTGGTTTGGTTTTTTACTTCGTGCCTACCTAGTTTATTTTGTTATTTATAAATCGTATATATATGTATTGTGGTAAAGTGAGGTTAGGTATAAAATCCATACAGGTGTCATACCAAGCTTTATACGGGATATTTTATGGTATATGGTGCAATTAGTATGACATTTAGAACAAGAAAATACTCAGTATTTATTAATTTGACCTTGTTTCAGTGAAACCGGGGGCTATACTGCCTTGCCATAAGGAGATGGGGCAAAATAGTCAAAGCAAAGTTGTCCTCCTTGAGTCACTCTACAATTTTCCTGAACACACTCCAACGATAAAACCACCCAATGACCCAGAAAACGAGGATAAACTTACTTTTTTGGCCCAAAAATTTGATTTTCTTCGTGTAACGGTTTTTCGAACATAACGTAAACAAATGTGAAAGTTATGTATACCGTTGGATAGGTGTTCACGAGTACTACAATTTTGATCCAAGGAGTATTGCCCTCCCTCCCATGGCTGGGGAGATATGACCTTTGGTGTAAATACCCTGATTTTCATGGTCGCCCTTCAAACACCCTTTTTGGGGTACCTAAGGGGTTGCGCCACCTAACTCATATACCATTGTGTAGCACTAGTCCTTAGCTAAATAATGACAAATAAATTTGACGATTTCCGCAGGTGTCTGTAAAGTGTAGTTGTGCCCTCAATTGTTTTTTTTTTTTTCATTCGAACAAAAAACAAAAGCTCACCTTATGATTCCAAATCAAATTGGGAATACTATGATCTCTGGTGAATTGATAGAAAAAATACGGAAGATTAATGATTTTATCATTCAATTTCTTCCTTTGGCGTCGATTTCGCAACACAATGGGACGGTTTTGAAGTGACTGATTGATTTTCTCCTGTCGATCGATCAAATTTAGGCCCCAATGCTTGATGCCTTCCAAATGTTTTTCGATCACACTGCGTTTGCCCTTATTGGAATGTTGAATGGCTAAATTTAAATTATCACGGAAATTTAGTTTGTCCTCTTCGACATCGGTGGTGGGCACTTCGTCGATCGATTCGAGGAACATCAGCAAACCGGCAGGCTGAAAATGATTTTATGTTCGATTAAATGCGAATTTTTGACTGAAAAAAATTGCTCGCAATGGTAACTTACGAAAATGCGTTGAAATAGTTGCATGGCATCTTCGTTATCGGTGATCCACAGCCCAACTAAATGCCTTGATAATTGTCGATGCGCTGCCATGGTTGAATCGTTCACTGGCGTGTACAAAGCAACCAACAAATGTCGGCACAAAGCAGCTTCATCCAATGCAAGGGTTTGCATTTGATTTGCAATATTCGCTTCACCCTCTTCGATAATTGCTCGCATCACCAGGCCGGCTCCTTTGACTATGGCAAGCGATGGATGCTGGAATAGCTTGAACATGGCTCGGCCACGACCGGCAACCATCTCCAAAAGACTATCAAATTGCTTACTATCCGTGGTTTCGCTGTACGGTACACACAGAGCAAACGTTAGAAAATCCAACATCGCCGATAGAATGAGAGCACCACTGCCCAAGTTCACATGCTCTGTCCATGTGTTGAGTAGATTTTCCAAAAATTGCTTCGATGACAATAGCGATGACTTGTTCAATTGTTCTTGCTTCAGATTGTATTCACCGCTCATCGAGTGCATCAACGAATTCAGCATATCGATTGCGGCATATGTAACAGCCAAATCTTTTCGATGTAATGAAGCCACCACTTTCTTTCCAATTGATTCGCGGAAACTGAAATCCAACGGATTAGAAAATGTTCATTACAATTTGTTCGTGGACAACTCATCTGATATTATCCAATGGATGGAAAAATTTAATATTTAGCCACTTACCCAGGTAAATTAGTAAACGCAGCAAATCCAGTTTTACTGGCCAATAGACGTCGAAGCGAATGAAAACAGGCTTCCAGCTCGAAATTTGATATATCGGCAATTTTCTCAGTTTCTTTTTGTGTTAAAGCTTGTAGTGCGCCCAATATCAGTTTCTCTTTATTCTCAGCAAAAAGGCTCTGTTCGAAAGAGAGTGCCATGTTTATTTGTTTTCCAAATGAAATTGAATCGCTTTTAGATATCGAACAAGTCACAAGTTACTTACATCTTGTGTGACACTGTAGTTGAGACCACTGTGCGGAATGTTAGCGTTGAATCGCTCAAGGATTTCGAATCTCTTTACCGGATATTGAAAATTATGGATGATTAATCGCAAGAGACTCGCTTCAGTTTCTTCGTCAACGTTTGCATACAATGGGACAACACGTTTGCCACGCGGTGTACGTGTCATTCGAACGTGTACATTGGGATTGTTGCAAGAGCGTACAGCATCCAATAGGGTGGACAATAGCGAATCACTGTGCAAAATCAAATCGAATGAAACATTTTTGTTTTGTTTTTAGGAAATCAGTGTAATATAAATTTACCGATCATTCGTTGAATACGAACGGCTGATTCCGTTTTTATATTCGATGTGAAATAATTGAATATTTTCTGAATCTCTGACTAAGGCAAATATATCTTCCAACGGTCTCAACGTACAAATCTATTAAATGAAAATCAAAATCGATTAAACATTCAACGGAAATTGAATTTACCGATAGAGTAACGCTGAATGGAAATCCAACATACACTGTAGGTTTGTGGGTCTCGTTCCAAAATTGTAGCTTCTGTTAGACACAGAATTCGCTTAGTAGGCTCTGGATGTCGATCCGTTATCTTTTGCACAATAAACTCGGACATTGATGTTAGAAAATTGTCTTTTCTGCAATTTCCGAATGAAAAATGAACATAAATTTAAAATTCGCAAATCGGTTTAATCGATAAATAAGGATTTGTTCATCAAATACGTACGAATATGGGCCGAATTTCTCTTGTTCGAATTTGTTGAGTGTAATTTGGCTGGGCACAACTTTCAATACGATGTTCATGAATTGATTTGAGGCCTGTACAATGTTTTGTACGATTTCATGATGGTTCGCGGCTCGGAATAAATGCAAGCGCGTGAATTTCCCATAAGCAATTACAATACCCTGTTCATAGTCTTGAATGCCTAAAACGGCGAAAAAACCGTGAAAAATGGAAGCTTTTGCCATTTTAGGAACGAAAGAAATCAAAATCAATGTTTACCAATTGTTGCCACAATATCTTTGTAGTCATAGCTAGCGATCACTTTGTTCGATGTAGGATCGAGTTGATCTAGTGAGCATGGTGTCACTTCCAATTGCGTTGGTAATCCAATACCAGACCAATGGTATTTGTATGCGGAATATTTCTAGAAATTCATGACAACACTTATGACTTAGAAAGAAAACAACAACAGCACACACACACACACACACACTTAGATACCGCTTTTACTTACTTCAGTTTTTATCTTTTCGGCAAATTCCCTATGATACTTAAACAACGATGTAAGTATATCGTTTCGATACTCTGATGATAATTTAATCGTATCATATTTCCTGTCTTTCCGTAATGTCAACGAAAACTCATGGTTTGACTGAAATTGCGCACGGAGTTTTATCAAAAACAACAAAATTAATATCATGTCACAGTGAAATAAAAGTGATTGAGTCATGAATAAAGAAAAGCACACATACATTTTGAATTGATTTGTTGGGGGCGATCGCAACTACATCTGAATACGGCCATCGATTTGTGACTTCGAATTTATCGGGATTGTATGTGGATACACCCGTTTTACCGATTGCTAAAATTCGCTTGTATTTTCCCTTCCACGAGTGTTTTGTCACTAAATAGCATTCTTGATCGATACAATCTTTTATCGGCACCATAATAATAATCGGACAAGCGTGAAATCGATGCGTTTCACAACGATTTGTTCTCGTAAAATGTTTGCGTCAGCCAACCGTTTCGTTATGTTGTTGTTAAACTCATAAATCTATTTGATTGAAGAAAGAAAGGAAAAATCAAAACAAAATAGAAAGTGTAATCAATTGGAATAAATTAATCAATGCAATGTGTGTGCGTATGTTGTGTACACATCGGAAATGTATCACATTCTAGATATTTAATCGGCGTAATTTGTTGAATTTAAATCCAATTTCTTTATGTTTATGTTGATTGGATGACCGCTACATTATTTCACCCGAAACCTCCCGAAATCCCTCCCGAAAAGATTCACCACTCAGCTTTTTTGACTTTCACATTAATTAATTTACAACGAACACATATAGAGTGAAGAAAAAAAACTTCATCTGTTTGTTGACTCATCAAAAACAATTATCAATCGATCCCTAAATAATGATGTATTGCCATCGTATGTGAGCTATGATATCTCGTCAAAAGTGACCAAAAGACTGACGAGATAAAGTATTACATTGAGAGAGAGAGAGAAAAAAGGGGAGTTTTTTCTTTTCATCGCATCCAAATTCAGAGAAAAAGATTGAAAAAAACACCACCATAAATGAGATTGATAATTCATGCGTTGAATGTTTTGCTTCGAATACACTGGGTAAGTTTTGCCTAATTACATTATTTTACAAACATTTTCATATTGGACTTTTTAATATCTTCATCTCTTTCACACTTCCTCGGACTGAGGCCACTCTTTTGTTCAAACGATAGACACTTTTCTTACTTTTCGTATTATTTTTTTTTCTCTCTCTCTGGTTTTCTCACCAACAACACCACATATTATTTTCGTGATGTGCACTGAATTTGTATGTGCAGAAGATTTTTTAATTTTTTCATAAATGTAGTAAATTGCTCTTGCATTCAAAACATAAACAATTGTGAATTTAACGTAAAAAAAAAACAGAATTCCCTAAGTTGATTCGCACAAAGAAATCACTTAATAACAAAAAAAAATAGTTGTGTATTACAAAAAAAAATACAGTATTCGGAAATGTCATACACAAACACCAGTCACAGTCGAAATTTCACTTCGAACGTATTGTTGGCATGACTGTTTCTCTGTTGCACTGAAATGTCAATATTTTGACAGTTAACTCGGGCAATCAACAGTACCAATACCAATCATCAACTCAACACTCAACCAACAGACCAAAATCGAATTGGTTTCCGAAAGGTGCTTGCTTATCAGACGGATAAATTTTTTTTCGTACCCGGTGAAACAGGAGAAATATTTTTTTTTATTTTGTAAAGAAAATCCGACATTTTTTCTTTCAAAGGAACATTTTTCTTACTTTTGTGAAGGTAATAAATTCGTTTTCATGCATCGACAATTCGAAATGTTGTGTGTATGTGAGATTATTTTGTTGTTGTTTGGATGCATCGTAGCAAATATACGTATATATCTTTGCTCTTCTTTGTGAGTGGAATGATTGTAAACACATATATTTTTCATTCTAACCACAGTCGACAAAGCCAATTTATATGTATACACATGTATGTCGTGTATGTTAGAAAGCAGCCCGCGAGATAGATAGATAGAGAGAGATGGCGTGAAGTGAATGGAAATTGTAAATGAAACGAAAAACGTGTCAGTAAGCAGACGACGATAAAACATCCATTTATACATACACATACACACATACACACACACCAATACACATAGATTGATATATTTCAGCCGTTTTAGCGGATCTCTCTCTGCTCTCCTGCAGTGTGTATTGTATTTTGTGTGTTCCATATAACCCAAGTTTATATACAAAATTGCCAACAGATATGCTCATTCATTTTGGTCAGCGGAAAATATTGTCAGTAGCGAAAGCAGCAGCAGTAACAATATCATCCCCAATCATCCGAAGTACATCGGCACTTCGGCTTTCTAACTTACACAAACGAGACATTTTTACTGGTTTCACACGGAATTCGTCGGTAAAAAGTGAGAGAAAATGACATTTCGGCATTTAAAAAAAAAACTAAATTAATTTTTATCATTGTTATTATTTTCGTGATTGATAATAATTCGCATAGTTTTGCAGTCGGTTTTATCGGCTGTTTGCTATTCGAACGGGTGTTGGGTGAATGAAAGGCAAGACATATGAAGGAAAGACAGTTTTATGTGTGAAAGAGATTAAAAATTATTGAACGAATCAATACGTAATGTTTGATTACAAATTTTCGAATAGAGAAATGTCAATATGCGTGAATTGGTGTATGTGTGTGTGCGTGCATGTGTGCAATTCTATCATTGTGTTGCTGTGTATGTGCATTTGTCTGTGTTCGTTATGTCTTATCTCTTGATTTGGATTAAAAAAACGTGCATATAAATCGCTTCGTTTTTTTTTACTCTCTCCCATCAATAACGGATCGGACCATAAATTTCTTGTTTTGTCACAATCCGCGTACTCATTTGCATCGATCATTTTTCAGGAACTATTCATTTAGCAGCAGCCACACATTCGGTGCGTACAACATCAACATTTAGCAGCAACAGCAGCGGCGGCATATTTCGACAGTCAATAGCCTGGAGTGCATGCACAATATTGCATCAAAGAAATCCATTTCAAGTGTTGACATCGTTTGCAAAAAATCAACCGTTTTCGATAAACGCTTCGCATAATCATCAGTTTCACAGTTGTAGCCCATCGAATTCGCGACCAGTCAATCAAAGTACAAACAAAATGAAATGCGAGTTCAAGCGATTGCCGACAAATGTCGTGCCAAAACACTATAATTTGGAGCTTACACCATGTTTGACATCGTTTACATTTGATGGAAAGACATCGGTTAATTTTAAGGTTAGTCGCAACAATCACATTTATCTATTCCTTTTGCCAATTCTTAACTTTCTTCTTCTCGTTTTCGCTCTCTCTCTCTCTCTCTCTCTCTCTCTCTCTCTCTCTTTTCCGTTCTTTCCGCATGTACAATCTTGCATTCATTTTCCCTCTCGTAATAATCAAACCATATAATTTGCTTTTATTTTGTTTTTTGTTTTTGAGCTAAAATCATTGTTATTAGTAATGATGCCAATAGACCAAATGCAACAAATATAAATAATGAGTTAAACAAAACAGAAGGAACGGCATACAACAGCAACAACAACCACAGAAATATGCAACAATCGTATATTAACGTGATTTGAAAAATTAATTAAGCATTCGACAATGTGCATGTTGCACGCTCTTGCTCACGCAAATCCACCAACACACAAACAAAACAACCAACCGAATTTCAGCAGAACGCATATTTCATATGTTGTAGCATTCTTCATATTATCTTCTGTTGTTGTTGTTCGTTGTTGCTTTTTTTTTGCTGTGTATCTTGTATTATTTTTGCATCAACTACGCGAATTTCGTCGTATCGAATCGAAATGAAAAAGAGCAAATACGCGAGAGAGTGAGAGAAAAATGTGTGTGAAAGATATGTACGCACACACACACACAAATGGCTCAGCGCCAACAACAACTGTGTGTGCATGAATCAGACAATGTGAATAAAACATTTTTTGTTGTTGTTGTTTCCAACAACTTTCGCTTTTTAAACTCCTTTTGATACTACCGAGACCGTATTCTATATAGCACGAATACGAAATAGACCAAAGGGGCATTGATATGCAAAGTATGTACAGCGTGCTACTGCTGCTGCTATTAGGAGCTATAGACAGAAACTTGAAATCTCAATAGCATCAGAATTCCGTGATGAGCAAAAATACGCGGCAAAAAATAAAATTAAAAGGAAAAAAAAAACAGATTATTTTGCGTCATAGCACCACGAATGGTTTTACTAGAGAAAAAAAAACACAACATTTATATTTGATTTTAAAGCGAATGGGAAAAAAAACGACTGGTTTTTTAAAACTAAAACTTGGTCGGAAACTAAAACTCCATTCATAAAACAGTACAATAATTACTTTATTAAAGTAATTTGTATGTAATGGATATGAAAATTAGCCAAAAATTCTCACAAATTAACAAATGAGTATTTAGCATTACCGAATTTGTATTATAATTAGATTGTTTTGTTGTGGTTTTTGCATATAAATATCCAAAAAAAGGTGCTTGCTCAGCGCAATGATAAAATAAAAATGTCTGAAAAAAGAATGAAATTGTTCCTATTGTTTTAATCTAAATTTGAATTACAAAACATGCATATGTAATTAACACTTTAATTGAAGCGGTTTCTTTTTATTTCAAACTAATTTCATTATCGAATGAATCAAACATCATTTGTGCTGTGGAATTGAAAATATTCCACAGTAAATGCGAATTAGACCAAATCGATTTCGTTCTGCAAAGCACCTTACTTCGTATTAATTAACTTCTTTTTTTTTCGCAATAATTTTATTTATAGACCACTAGGTTTTACTACATATCCGTTCATGGTCTATTTTTACTATTTCGTCGTTCCTTTCTTTTGGTTTCGTTTCTTTTCAAATCAGGTGCAAGAAGAAACGGACAATATTGTATTGAATGCCGTCGATTTGGTGATCAAAAATTCTTCGGTGACATTAGACGGTAGCTCAGAGCCACTTGAAGCGTCAGATATTTCATTTTGTTCCGAACAGGAAACGGTAACGTTGAAGTTTTCAAATGCTTTGCCGGCTGGATCGGAAGGCGTTCTCAATGTGTCGTTTAGCGGTAACTTGAACGATAAGATGAAAGGCTTCTATCGCAGCAAATATTTTACGTCGAGTGGCGAGGAACGTTATGGTGGTGTCACTCAATTGTAAGTATTCTTCCGTGAAATTCAACGGAATTCAATTTTGACATTTTGTTGATTCAGTCAGTCTGACTGAGAAGAAACAGAAGCAACTAGTAGCTGCCAATTAAATGTATATTGAATGTCAATTTTGTTGACTTACAGCGAGGCAACAGATGCAAGAAGGTGTTTCCCTTGCTGGGATGAACCGGCCATAAAAGCAACATTCGACATAACACTGGTTGTTCCAAAGGACCGAGTCGCATTATCGAATATGCCAGTGGTGTCGGAAAAGAGTGTCGGCGATAATTTGCGTGAAATTCGCTTTGACACAACGCCTATTATGTCGACCTATTTAGTGGCTGCTGTGGTTGGTGAATATGATTACGTTGAGGCTCAGTCAAAAGACGGCGTTTTAGTCCGTGTGTACACGCCGGTTGGCAAAAAGGAACAAGGCCTGTTTGCATTAGACGTTGCCACCAAAGTGTTACCTTATTATAAGGAATACTTTGACATTGCATATCCACTGCCTAAGATGGATCTTATTGCTATAGGGGACTTCTCAGCGGGAGCAATGGAAAATTGGGGTAATTTTTTTTTTGGTTTCAATTGAATTTTTTAGTAGGAAATTCGTAGAATGACATAAACTGCAATTGAACTGATTTTATGACACATTTGCAGGTCTTGTCACCTACCGAGAGTCATTCGTGTTGGTCGATCCAGAAAATACATCATTGATTCGCAAACAGTCTATCGCTTTAACCGTTGGTCATGAAATTGCCCATCAATGGTTCGGAAATTTAGGTAAGTTTCGCGTTGACGCACGCATTTTTTTTCGTGCAGTTAGCTAACCTCTTTCTTCTCTTGTTGTAATCTCCTTTACATCCATTCAGTTACAATGGAGTGGTGGACTCATTTATGGTTGAATGAAGGTTACGCTTCGTTTGTGGAATTTTTGTGTGTCAATAAATTATTTCCCGAATACGATATCTGGACGCAATTCGTGGCCGATATGTATACACGAGCGCTTGAATTGGATTGTTTGAAGAATTCGCATCCGATCGAAGTGCCAGTTGGACATCCATCGGAGATTGATGAGATTTTCGATGAGATTAGCTATGCCAAAGGTGCCAGTGTGATTCGAATGCTTCACCATTACATTGGAGATGCTGACTTCCGGAAGGGAATGAACATTTACTTGACACGACACCAGTACAAAAACACGCACACCGAAGACCTGTGGACAGCGTTAAGTGAAGCAAGTAGCAAACCGGTTGCAAGTGTTATGTCGACATGGATCAAACAGATGGGTTTCCCAGTTATATCAGCTGCCGCTGAACAAGTGGGCAACAAACGAATTCTGACATTGACTCAAAACAAATTCACTGCCGATGGTTTTGAACCGGCCGAAGACTATTTCTGGATGGTTCCCATCACAATATCAACATCAAAGGCGCCCGGTGAAATTGCCATTGCCACAATTCTTGATAAGAAAACCATGCAAATTGAAATCGATGACATTGCCGAAAATGAATGGGTTAAAATCAATCCGGGCACAATTGGTTACTATCGCACACGTTACACGCCTGAAATGTTGGACTTATTGATACCAGCCATTAAAAGTCAAACACTTCCTCCATTGGATCGATTGGGTTTGATAGACGATTTGTTTGCACTGGTGCAAGCCGGTCGTGCGCCAACACGCGAAGTGCTGAAACTCATCGATGCCTATCGAAATGAAACCAATTACACGGTATGGTCATCGATTACCAACTCATTGATCAAACTGCAGACACTATTGTCGCACACAACCGTCGATAAGCAATTCAATGAGTATGGCATTCGATTGTATGCACCGATTGCCGATCGCTTGGGCTGGGACTGCCGGGCTGGTGAAAGTCATTTGGACACATTGCTACGAAGTTTGGTGCTAAATCGTTTGATTTCATACGGATGCACGGCGACCATTGAAGAAGCGAAAAAACGCTTTAAAATGCATGCCAGCGGCGAAAATTTATTGCCCGCCGATTTACGGTCGACATGTTACAAAGCAGTCATGCAAAACGGTGACACTGCCACATACGAAGAAATGCTACGCTTGTACCGGGCCACCGATTTACACGAAGAAAAGGATCGCATTTCTCGAGCCCTTGGCTCATTCAAAGACGTCGAAATTTTGAAGCGTGTCGTTGATTTTGCGCTATCGGTAAGGATTTTCTCATGCAAAAATAAAAACAATATTTTCGAAATTTATGGTGATGTTAGCAATTCAACTCAATTTTTATTATTTATTTGTGCAGACTGAGGTGCGGGCACAGGATTCCGTATTCGTAATCGTTTCAGTGGCAATAAATCCGAAGGGTCGTGACATGTGTTGGGAATTCTTCAGAAACAACTCAGCCAAACTGTTAGCACAATACGAGGTAGCTTACAAAAACTAATCAATTTAATAATTTAAATTTGAACATGCATTCAAATGACATTGAGCTTCATTTACTCCTAGGATGAAAGATGACAATACATATTTTACTTCCTAAATACTTAATATTTGTTTCTTTTTTTTCAGGGTGGATTTCTGTTGGCACGCCTTGTGAAATATTTGACTGAAAATTTTGCATCGGAAGAAAAGGCACAAGAAGTGGAGAAATTCTTCAAAGAGAATGAATTCTCAGGCACCGAACGAACCGTTTCACAGTCCGTCGAGACAATCCGTTTGAATGCCGCATGGTTGCAACGAGACCTACCAAATATTATTGAATACTTGAGCTCATTCACCAATTAAACGAAAGAAAAAACAAATCGCGTTGAAGTTCCGTTTTGTTGAAATCACAAAAAAAAAAATGAAAGAAAAGAAAAAAAAACCCACAAACTAAATTACATACGGAAAGCGACAAACATTTTAAATAAACTATCAATGGAAAACGTATTTCATAGTCAAAAAAAAGGGAAGAAAATAAATTCAAATGCATGCTTATTAATTTAATTTATTTATTCAAACTCGATTCTAAATGTTTGCAAATAATCGAAAGAAAATAAATGAAAAATTAAACAGATCGGATAACAGAGAGAACTAATGAATGAGAGAATTATTCTAAAAAAAAAAATTATCCCAATCAAATTAATAGACTGATGTTAATTTTTTTTCTTCGTAAGAATATATCGCATCCAATCGTTTGTGCCGAATCGAATGAAATACAAATCTGATTTGTGTGAGAGCGCCACTTATGAAAATGAAATCTGTTTATTATGTATAAAAATACACACCAATTATCAAAATGCTCGCTCGTTTCTATTTTAATCGACTTGGAATTTATTCACACTTCCGTTGCTTTCCCACAATCTTATTTCCTGTCATTTTTTTTCAACGGTTTTGCTTAATCAAAGGTTTTGCTCAAGTATTAGACTTTGCGGTACAAATAAATTTTGTCGTTTTTTAAACAACTAGTCATTAATCAAAACTATTCGCTGCGGTTTTCCATAATATTTTTTTTTATTGATAAGGTAATGTACACGATACTTCACTTGTTTGAATCATCGCTAGTATTTAGATATCGGGCAGCGAGAACTCCATGACGGATCAAAGTCACTTTATACAATTTAAAGTTTATTGGATATTAATGGAATACGATAATATTATCGAAAGCCTTCCTCCCCATGAATCTACCGCGCACGTTCAAAAAATTGAAATTTAAATCGTCGATATTCGCAAAAATGTTTTTTTTTTTGTAGATGACTGACTGTAGCGCCATTTCAAATGTCACGTATGTAAGTGTGTTTGAACATGAATAATTCCTATAACAATGTATTGTCACAGAATAAAAATGATGCGGTCAAAAATGCCAAACTTTTCATTCATTTTACGAACATTTCTGTCTGATAAAAAAGTACCTTCCCAAGAACAATTCGAGTTTGATTTATTGGGAGTGAGTGATTCATATCCGGTAAAATTAGTTATAATATTGTCATATCAATGCCACAAAAATCGTCATCCTCCCAATGAAATTGTGATTAGCTAATGATTTTTTTTTATATTGTTGTAAAAATAAAATTCATATGGCTTTTCATGTTGATCACTTATTTCTGACAATTGGCTCCATACGTTTTGTATTTAAACAATAAAAATTTCTACTCTCAATTTTTAACTTTTCAAATTATCGGATAAGATAAATCTTCTATCGCTTACAAATGTTGCCTATAGCATTGTCCTATACGTGTCATTGCCCGTGTTAGTACTTAAAGAAGGATTTTATTGAAAGTTTAAATAGAGACAAAAGTATAGATGTTGAGTCATCAATGTAAATATAAAATGGAAGAGGAAAATATTTGGAGGAATTGGAGGCGAAAATTGTCTCATTGTAGGTATATATTTTACGACCTGTATTCTTTTTCCAGTCTAATGTAATAGTCTAAACTATTTTATTGAGTAAGCCAGAGCTTGGCGGTGAATTTATTAAATTGAATTTAAAAGAAATGTTTTACGTTAAATCCAATTTTCATTACATTGAATTCAAGCCATTTACGTAATCAATTGTTAGGTGGATTAATCATTGAAAAAGGTACCGTACCTCAATAAAAATGCAAATACATGCTCATCAATTTATTAATTTATTTTTATTCAAGCTGAATTTCAAATTTTTGCAATGGAGCGAAAATTGAGACAAAAAATATAAACGATCACACTGAAAAACAAGTGAATGAAAAAAATGAGGGCAAAAGCTATTCTAATCTAGTTTATGATGAACTGCCACTTATGAAAATAATATATATGTTTAATATGTGAAAGAGGAAGAAGAAAAACACACAAAATATCTGATTAAATCAAATGCGTTTCTATTTCAGAAGACATGAATTTTATGAATTTCCATTGGTTAACCACAAATACATTTCCTGTGGATTTCTGAGTGATTATACGATTTTACAACATTTACTTGTTAACAGTTAATTGCTGCTGTTTTTTTTTATTTCTTTTTTTTCATTTTTGATAGGGTAATAACATGATGTATAAAATATAGTATCTTTGTTTTAATTAGAATGTTATTGATTTTAAATCATCGCTAGTATTTAGTTAACGTGTACCGAGTGCTTCATATCGACGAATCGATCATGAAAGCCACTTTGAGATGCTACGTAAAATGTTTAATAATGATCAATACAAACTGGTCGATTGCAAGTTCCCTTACAAATTCGAGTATATTGCATTGACATATAGACTAATAAGTTTTTTTTTTCTTCAAATTTTTACTTCGAATATTTTCCTTCAACACCAACAAAAAGGTTCAAATTTCGCTTGATTCGCTTTAGTTTTCAGATGTTTCTGTTGCCGAAATGACTTCAAAGTCAAGACCATTTTTCGACAAGTTGGAAATGTAATTGGTCTTGGCAAAGCAGGCACCAGGTGGTAGAACGCCACCAGTCAATGGCAATTTTTCCTTTTCATTCAAGATAGTTGTGGCTGCTAGCAATAGAGCGATGCAAGTAGAACCGTATCCTATATGATGTCAAGAAAAATTGTTCTAATTTTAGTACTTGGTTCTTTTGTTTGTATAGTGGGTGGGTGGGTGGGTGTGTGTGTGTGTTTTGAATTTACCTGGGTTAGTGCCGGTGACACGAGTAACAATCTTTTTCGATGGCAATGTGGTATGTTGATCGGTTGGTTCTGACAAAGCCTCTTCCTTTGGCCACCCTTGGCCGTAGAATGTAACGGAAAATTTGGTATTTTTCATCGACTCTTCCGATGGACCTTCATGCGAGATGAAACCCAATGAGAACAATTTCGGATATTTCAACAGCAATTTTCGTCCGAACGAATATTTTGCCAAAATGCCGAAGATGATTCCCATGAATGAAACCATCAACACGGTTAGCAATGATCTATAAATAGATTTGAAAATGAAATTAATTAATAATCGCATTCAATTAAGCTAATTCTGGTTGTTTTTTTCTTTTATCATCATACTTGAATTGTACGTAGGCTTGCATTTGAATGGGACGCTTTTGTTCGTGTTCGTACAAGAATCGCTGTGATCGCAAAACGACTGAACGATCGGAACCAAGGAATGGCAAACACCATGCATTCACCAAATCGGATTTATGAACGGCTATAATCAAAACAAATAAATAATCATTTCGTTTAATTTATACAATTGCCAGTATCAATCGATGCACATATGGGGATGATGTCATCTAATAAATAATTATGAAATTACCTGGTCGTTTGATTTGTTTCGGTTTGCTGTATGGCAATGGTTCTTTGAATAATTTCTTGCGAATGGCGCTCAATTCTTTGGCATGTGCCAATCCATAAACGGCCGATTCCCAGGTACCATAATGGATACTGTTATGAAAATGAAAAATAATTTTATTCAAATGTCACTTGAAAAATTGACACAATGTTCAATTTACCCGGCTCCTGAAGTCGGACCAACTGCCCAGCTCTTCAAATATGTTTCAACCGAATGAACTTCACCATCGAAATGCTTCTCCAGGAACATCATACCCATATCGGCTGGTATGCTGTCGAAACCACAAGCACTTACAATATAAACGCCTTTTTCGCGTGCGAGATCATTGTATTCGAGTTGCATTCGTTCCATGAACTGTGGTTCACCGCTCACATCAACATGATGCGTGCCCGCGTTGATGCTACGGTTATTATCGAAACGTGAAAAACAATTCAAGAAAATTCGCAAAAAAAATAAACATTAGAATTACCATGCTTTAACAACCGGTTCGCCATAAAAGCGGTAAGGACCGCAACAGTTCACAATAATCTATAGCAGACAAGAGAAGGAGAAGAAAGAAAAAAAAATCATGGAAAAACAATTTTATTGCGTACAACGCAATTCGTGAACAAACGATGACATCATGGTGTTCGTTTGTTTGGTTTGTGGATGTGGGATTGGCGAAAGAGGCAAGAAAACACCTGTTATTTACCTTAGCGCGTTCGGCCATTTTTTGCAATGAATTTTCATCTTTAACATCGGCTATAATGATCGGAATGGCCGAAAGATCTTTTTCAACTTTGTCACCGACTTCTTTCAGTGTACGCTTCAATTTTTCTTCGTCACGTCCAGCAACGCCCCATGACAAGTTCTCTAACAACTTAACACCTTCATATACCGTGTACTTGCCGGCTGTGTGTGCACAATAATTAAAATGAGTTTGAATAATTTCGCAAAACATTGTGAAGAAGAGCAAAAAAGAAGAAGAAGAAGAACAAACAAAGAATGAAGCCAGTGTGTACTTACTGAAACCACTTGCACCGAAAATTACAACATCCAATCGATTGTTTGCCATCTTTCAAAATGTAAATGAATGGAATTTCTTGTCGAGCTGATCGCACAAACTGAACTAGATGAAGAAAAAGACGCAACAAAATATGCGTGTATTGTATGACTAACCACTACGAATAATGACTTAATCAATTTTTCGGACGGAAAAAGTGGCCGATCAAATAAAATATGTACACAATGCAACCACAATGTCAAATACGACGCGTCACGATGACTCTCAAGACCTTGACTTTCCTCTACTGTTTGTGCTGTGCTGTTTTTTTTTTTATTTCATCGGTAACAGTTTCAAAAAGTTGCTATTTTTCATTTATTGGGTTTAAAGGTTAAGAAAGAAGGAAAAAAAAAATCGTTATTAAAAGTAACAAAACGCACAAACAACAACAAAAACAACAATGGCATCGGCAACAGCAACCATAGCGTATCAAAAAGTACGAGCGAAAAGAAAAAAAAAATCCGAGGGAATTTCAAATGATTGCTATGGTTATTCGGTTGTTTGTGTCGCATTTTAAATTGTATGTGCGTTTGTTCGTTATGCATTCCGTCGAAATAACATTTTCTTTCTTGGAATAAATTCAAAACTTACTTAACACAAATTTATTTGTCGTTCAATCGGTTGGGAAACACACCATAGAACTAAAGTCCACAAGAATTACGTGGAACCAACTGAGTGGTTGAATGAATTGCAATAAAATATATGATGAACAAAGAAAAAAATGAACTTATCGCGTTCTTCCTAATTTGGAGTACTTTTTTTTTTGTCTTCTTCTACGCCGAAATTTCGTGCGGCTCTTATTTGTTCCTTCTTCTTCGTATGACTATTTTCGACAAATGTGTTGTGTGTGTTTTTTTTTGCTTCCTTCTCGGTTTTCGTGTGTTTTATGAGAGATGTAAACCAAATGCGACTCAACAATGTACTGTGTGGATGGAGGCATACCGTGTTCGCTTGTAACATTTCAGTCATTTCGGGGTTCTATAGCGTGCGTTCATATAGTATAAGTATAAATGTTGTGCGATGTGCTATACACACATCTAAAAATGGAACGAACGAGTGAAGAACACGTCTGTTGTATCGCATTAGCTGGAGCCGGCAAATATGATTGTATGCGCTTCACTTGAGCTCGTATACAATACATTCGTAACACGCACAATACAATCAAAACGATTTTTTCTACGACGAATATGAACAACAACGTCAGAAGAGAAAAAAAATATCGAGCTGTGTTTCGCCGCGAGAGAATTTCACTCGACAATTGAAACCGATAAGTGATAGTGTGTGCGAGTTTAAAATAAAACAACCGTCTTAATTTCCTATTGAGCACAATTCGATGAGTGGAATGATGTTTGAAGTATTGCACGCTATTCCATTCTTACCCATTTCCCCATGCAGCGGCAACGGCAACGATGATGCAGACTCAATCCAAATGTTTTCAAAACAGTAACGTTCTGTTTACCTTCTTTTTTTGCTCCTCTACTGTGCACCACATATTATGGATTTACGTTCAAAATAAAAATGATATATCTGTTTATCATTTATTTATATCACACCACAGTTTGTGCCAGCAATGAATTTTCATTTCGTCGAAACACACGTAGACATGATTCGTGTGTCGTGTATTTTGACGACGACCATTCATTCTTAACACTTTTTCGAATTGCCATGATGGACTTGACAAATTCCATTTCTATGAATAATGCGTATCAAAGCGAAACCGATTATGAAATTCAACAAGTCATTGGCTGTAAGCAATTGAATCAATATTTATTCTCATTTTGGCTGGTGTATTGCAAATCGTGCTAAATCGTCGACAGAATCGTATTCAAATCTTCTTGAATAGAATGAACTCTGCTCATTTTTCGCAAATAGCAACCAAATCCTCATTTCCACATTCGAGTGAAGAGTTTTTTTTTTCTGTTCGCTTGGAATTCATTCTGGTGTACTTTTGGTCTGTTTTGAGAGTTTTGTCGGCTCAATATTCTAAAATTAGACTTTCATCGAATAATTGAAGTGAATAGTGGATCAAAACAATCCGCTCATATTGATCAATTGGTTCATCTATAATATACGCAGCAACGAATCAAATGGGAAAACCATGCATGTTTGAATCGAAAATTGATCATGATTTCGGATGAAAAATGTCTAATTTTCCCCATAAGCAACAACGCATTTATCATGATTCACCAGCACACGTTCGAAACATTACCGTTTGAGTCCAACACGAATCGATTTTGAGAGAGAATATTGCCTGTCCAATGTAATTTAGATAGATTTGTAAAGATAATCAAAATTATAGGCATATTTGTCATAAAATTTTATGAATTTCATCAATTTTTCATATACAGTAAAACCTGAAAACGGAATCCCGTAGGGAATTTTTTCTTCCACTATTGACAAGAATTCCAGTATTCACAGGATCCGTTATTCAGAGGTTTTTGAGTAGATTCCAGGCCGCGCTAGCGTCCTATCTAAATACATTATAATGAATAAGTACAAACTAATACATATGCATTTCGCTATGAATGCGTTTCATGTTATGTGTTTTGATTTCATTTAATTTTGGAAATTGAAAAAAAAAATTTCTCGACAAAATATATTTTAAAACATCATTGCAATAAAAAAAAACTTCCAAGTAAGAATGAATATATTGATATTGAGTAAGAAAATTCGGTGAAATCGGTGAAATACTTGAATCAAACATAAACGTTTGAAAAACGTACGACGCGCGCCAAAGCATAAGTGATGTCAAAGTGTGTACAAAGAGTGAAGCAATAGTGCGTTTAATGCTATGTGCTATAGTGTCTCTGTTGATGTTGATCGCTGACGTTTATAGTGGTAGGTCGATTCAAACGAGATTTTTCATTATTGAGGGTAAAAAGAAACAAAACATCGTTTTTTCGGTGTTCCGTTATTAACAGGTCAATTTGCATGGGAGAGCTCAACGGCCACATTTTTTTTCCACTATTGACACGATTTCCACTATTCTCAGGTTCCGTTATTGACAGGAATGTATTTTACTGTATATTCAAATTCTACGAAAAAAAATGAGTCAGGTGAACAATTAACGAAGTACAATTGATTCATGTCGAAGTCTTACTGATTCGGGTGGATCATTAAACGGATAATTACTAGAAAAACATTATGAAAAATGCACAAATCAAACGCCTTATCGTGATTATAAACGGTTGTTTGAGATGCTTACACACTGCATGCATAGTAAAAAATATACGTATATGTGGCTGTGATTCCGTTGAGCGTAGAATGAGTCCGTCGACGGTGGAATGAGTCTAGGGGAATTTATGTATTCGCGAATTGACAGGAATTTGCACAATTCGCACGCGTTTTGACTTCAAATTCATTCAAATATTTCACGAATTTTGCGAATTTTTTGCGAGTTAGTCAAATCCAAACATTGACAGCTGGCGCCATCTTAGTTGTCATTCGCAGTGACAAAGCAGAGATTGTGAACGATTCGTAAAGAATTCGCAGAGAATGTGCGAATTCGTAACAAAATCACAATGGAACGATCAAATTCGATAGATTCAACTGACATAAATACCCCTAGGAAGTAGTGAATTCACATTGTCCATTGGATTAGAAGATAAAAGAAGTCATTGAATTAATCCTCTAATGCATACAACCGCCTCTAGACGGACCACATTTGAACGCCTGTAGAACGTAAACCGTACATCGGATCACATTGCTTTAACCCTTTGACGACCTTTGGGACACATATGTCCCATTTTGTTTTTCGTCAATAATTTCCACATTTTTAGACCGATTTCGATAAAATTGGTTTCTTTTGAAAGAGAATGAATGTAGATACCAGAAAGTACCATAATATTGGATATTTTACATCACTGTGCTCAAATAGAACACTTCAAAGTCGAAAAATCTTAACTTTTTTTTCAAATTCCGCCAAACCCTATATAACTTGAAGGGTACAACTTTTAAAGCTGAAAATTGGAAATGTTGTACGGAGTGTCTGTTACTTTCCAAGGATAATCGCCTTTTCTACAAAAAAATTTGTTTCAAATTTTTATTGCTTTTGGCGTGATGGGACATATGTGTCCCATTGGTCGGTAAAGGTAAATAATTACCACTGATTTCCCTGTATTTCAACCACTTTTCGCGAATTTTGAAACACACAAATTTACAATAAGATCGTTAAATTCGTGATTAAATGGGCACAACAAAGCATGATTCAAACCATTTTTGGTTTAAAAAGATTCTATAAATTTTAAAAATGGAAAAGATTTTACACGTCGTTCTTATGGGAGACATGTTTTTTTCATAGAAAAATAAAGGTAAATAGTTACCTTTACCGACCAATGGGACACATATGTCCCATCATTTTTTTCATATTTGCAATTGAAAAAATTAATTTTTGATAACACTTTTGTAATATTTTTGAGGTCGCTGAGCACGAATCTGCAATCAGAATTGCAAAATTCCCAGCCGTTCAGTTTTGGTCGTCAAAGGGTTAAAGAGAATTTTTATTCGTCAATGTTCTCTCTTTATTTTTGTCTTTGGCAATATTTGTCTATGTAGTGTGATTGTAAAGTTATAAACAAAAATGTGTGCAAAAACAAAAATTTGACAAAATAAATTATTCGAACTCTAAATTAGACACATTTTTGACACTTTTAAACAATGGATTTTATTGTTCCATGATTTATGTCAATCGCATTTTCTGACTAAACCATGAGGAATCCAGGATTATGAATTTTTTTTTTAATTATCTATGGCCAAAAATCAACCAAGTACCAGTACTCCCAGCCTCGGGAAAAATTAATGCATTAGATGGTTAATGATCATAGGTGTGATGGTTTCGGTAGAAAATTAAAGTACACCGCAGTGTATGTTGTTGAAGTCACAAAATATGTGCAGAACACGCACGCGCGTATCCGATCGGACCGCGGTCTGGTGACTCAAACCGTTTTATTAACTGTAACGTTACGTTGGATCAAGTGGTGTGTCATCGTGCTCAATACCCGCTGCTGCTGATTCGTTTCGTGTAACTTTTTTTCGGCATTGCTGTAGCTTCTTTCATGCGTTCGTATGCAACACACCATGCAGCATTCGATTTTTTTCCTTCGCGTATTTTTTTTTTCGTTGTTGAAAATCACTTTGAGTATTTTAATTGTATTTCTTATGGCAGTTGTCTTTCGCTTTTCGTATTCGATACACGGCGACAACAGCAAAAAAAAAATATCGTTGAAAAAGACCTTCAAAGCTACCACATATGAGACTTATGAATGCACGTCAACGTTTTCTATAAAAGAAACTACTTCTTTCTATATACAATTTACACACACACTCACACATGAATTACTTGAACAACGTGATAAATTATAGTGTCGTATGAATCGGTTTGCACTCTAACTCCATTGATTGGCCGTTTTGGTAAAACGCTTCAACATTTTTGCAACGGTCTTTAAATGTTTCGATAATTTTGTATTGGACTCTCAGTTCGACATTTTTTTTCTTTCGTATGTGTTGCTGTTGTTGTTGAATGAACACACGACTTGGATTTCTCTGAATATGTTTTTTTTCCTATCAAGAATAGAGGGTATGCAAAACACACACACACACACACACAAAAAGACAAAAACGTCGCTAGAAATATACTAATGACTGTATGTATCATGCTAAATTGATTATTATGAATGCAGTTATCTGGTAGCATGCAATTTATCTTCTCGTTAATTCTTTGACCGTTGCGTGCATTGACTTTTCGGGTAGTACACCGATTGAGAGTAACTGGAGCCGATGCTAATTACTTTTTCGATTGCCAAAGCAATTAGCTTGTGCAGGAAATTTTCCTATTCAAACCAATTAACTGTTGTTGTTTTTTCGGTGTGTGTTGTACAGAATAATCTGGATGTTGTATCCACTTGATATTTTGACTCAAACTTATTAACTGGGTTAATATTTAATGAGCATGTTATCACTTGGCCCGTCGATCAGCGCAATTGAATTTGACATGCGGAAACGTATAATTTATCTATTTAACCGAGAGTACGTACACACGGAACATCTAGAATATCAATACAATGAATATCCCTTTCTATATGATAACACCATTAAAATTTCATCGTTGTAAAACGATTTCCAAGACTTGAAAACGACCTTGGCAATATATAGCACTCGTGCCTCGGCTATAATATTAAAAATAGCCATACGCATACGGAATTATTGATCAGCAGGTAGGCGACAAGTGTAATCTCAAGGTAATGTAACGGTGTTACTTCTTTCACTGTACGTCCACCACTGAAATAATGGTTTTGCAAATGTACGATTCAACACATTTCGTAAAATGATGCCTGCCTTAGCTTTGACTATTTTTACAAAATCCGAAAAAAAAATATCCGGGACAATGGCCTCCACATTTTTCTTCTTATTTTTTAACATAAATCGCACTTTTATTCGACAATCGCTTGGAAAATCGGTGGAAATGTTTAGCCATTGAACTGGCTAAATATACTCAATTTTGGCTATGTATTGTCGAACGCGGTCAATGAGAGTGCATCGGAGGTGGTCGTTCGATCGATTCACGATGATTTTCTATCTTTTGCTTTAAGTTTCACGTTTCATCGCCAGCCTTGTGTTTACTATCAAATTATCGAACGGACTGCTTTTTTTTCTGTCCATCATTTGGACAAGAGAAAGAACAACAAAAATATGAGCAAAAATTACCTCAGTCAAGCACCGCAACAGTTCATTTTTTATGTGGCAGTTTTTTCATTGTTGTTGTTGTTGCTGCTGCTGCTGCAGCTGTTGTTGTGTTTCATATTTTGATTTGGCTATGCGATCGAAGCTTCGATCACCATTACATACCGTGAGAGCTTGACTGAGCATAGTGGCTGACTGTGTTGTTTAATTCTGTGTTGTTTAATTCTAGGAGCTAACCACGGATTTTTTATTGACAAAATCTGTTTTTATCGCCCAATTTTAATGACATCCGTGAAAAATTGAAAAAATCTGTATATATTGAATTTTATCGTTTAATATCGACAATAAAAGTTCAATGTGCTGACGTCATTACCGATTCAAAAATGCTGGAAGTGGGTTTTGGTGGATCCTCAGGATCGTTTAGTACTGCTCCCGGTTCTGGAAGTGGATCCTCAGGATGGACCAGGGCATTGTCAAACCCAGTCTGGTCCATCCTGAAGATCCACCAAAACCCACTTCCAGAATCGGGAGCAGTTCTGAACGATCCTGAGGATGCACCAAAACCCGCTTCTAGAACAGTATGCATTCGTTAAAGCGAAAAAATTACTGCAAAAATCGGGCAAAATCGACCAAAATGTGATCATATCGGAATTTATTTGTTTAAATGATCAAAAAATGTTAAAGTCGGTCATTATTGGTTATTTTTAAAACTGTGGTTAGCCCCTAGGTTTAATTGCACATTTAACTCAAGCGATACGCGCTCAGCAAGCAAAAACATAAGCGCAAACGCTTCGAACTGTGCTGCCCGCGTGTAGCTGTTACTGCTGCCTGTTGCTCTTGCTGTTGGCTGATGGCACACACACAGTTCCTTCTCCGTGTTTCTCTATCTCTCTCACTCAGTCTCCGTCGCCCGTGCTTTCCGTACATATATTTTATTTAATGTAACCGAATTGCTTTGAACAACACGAAAAATTATTACTTTCAATTTCAGTATAGCTTTTGACAGTGACGAGTGTAGACGTGCGATTCCATTCGCATTCTCGCTCATAAATTTAAATTAATACATATTTTATGTTTGTGTGTTTTTTTTTCTTTTTCAAAAAAAAAAAATTCGATTTGTTGAACTAAATACATAACATCGATCGATTCGATCCAATCAGTGCGTATGTGATTTGAAACCGAAGAGAGGAAAAAAAATTTAAGTAACAACAAAATAAGGAAAATTAAACGAACAAACGAAGGAAAAGCGCGAGAAGAAATTTCCAATGCTGCTGATTTGGTTTGATCCAAATCAAAGCGCACAATAACCATCGTCTTTCCTGAAAAACCAAATTTGAAGAGAAAAACAAACCACCCGAAGTGTGCTTCTGATTCAGTTTAGAAAATAAAATTTCAACACTCGCAAAGAATATTTTAGATTTAAAAGTACGTAAGTGAATCTAATCTGTGTCATAAAACAAAAACACAAAAATTTTTTTTTTGTCAACAAACAAAATGTTCGTTGAAAAAATGGCGTTTGTTCGGAAGAGATCATTTGTTTCATTTGGCCAGTTATTCGAAATTATTATTATCGGGGTGCGGGTTAAGTGACGTTTAAGAAAATAAAAAATTATTTTGGTTTTTTTTTTGCCCACAACACAATTGAGATAAAGTGCTAATGACTGACATAGTTCTATCAATTTTGATGTCTTTCTCTCTTTCCCGGAGAAATATAACGAACGAATTGCATTTATTAACGAAAACGACAATTAAATTTAAATCGCTTTGCACACATATGCAAAACAAACATGCGATTGCAAAGACAAATCGGCGCAAACGAAGAAAAGAAAGAAAAGAGTAAAAAGGCGCGAACATACATGCAAAAAATCATAATCATATAGACATATAATCACACAATTTGTAATGAATTGTTGTATAATAATTGGTGTGTGCTCAACATTAAATCGATTTTAGCGATCACCATCACTTAATGCCCATATTACATGATGCGTCATCAGTTTAGAGTTTGAAAAGAGAGACATTTATGCGGATTTCACGTTGAAATTCTTGTGTGTCAAGCGAACTGATCTAACATGATTATCTCCATTTGCAGTTTGAAAATCGAATGTCGCCACCGATCGATCGACAGATGAATGAAATACAAGTCGAATGTGCAAAAGTCAATTGAGCACAATTCATATAATAATTTTTTTTTCTTCTTCTTTTCTTTATGTAAAGAAAAAAAAACGGTTCAATTGAAGTTGGATGGAGTTGAACGGTTGAAGTTGGATGGTGATTTCAAGAGGGATGGCGTTTTCTGTGTCACCGAATTCGAATTGAGTTATTGCTTTCGATTAAATGGAACCAACTGTTGACATTAAAAGATAACGATCGGCACTCGTAACCGAATCAAAAACAGACAGAAGAAGGCAAAAAAAACCATACCCAAATTTAGCGCAACAAAACAATGAACCGAAAAGAGACGAAGAAAAAAGTGTGTTGACGATCGATTGAGATTTGCATAATTTAGTGTGATCACTTTTTTGTGTGTCCCCGTTACCTACAATTCGATAGAATACTTCCATGTTTTCGTTTTCATTCACAACAAACCATGATTAGGTTGCATTCACCACCAAATGCAGTTATCGGTGCGGTGTATTGTTGGTGCGGCCAAATTGAAATAGCATCATCTGTTCGATGCGATTGCACATAGTTGACATTCCTTTGAAAGGTGCAATTAACTTGCATCAAGTGAGAACTAATCGCATCGTCGCCAAACTCCTTTCTTTCCTCCTCTCGGCGTGGAATCTGGCACACTTGTCGCTTTGTCGCCCTTTTTTTTCGCACGAAAATAAAAACATTGCACACACACATACAAGCCCAAGCGAACACATGCTCGGCAATCGACATTAATTGTGCCGCTTTGCAAATCGGCGCGGCTCTTGTTATCGATTGTGTCTTTATGTGCATATTAGGTTGTGTGTACCACACGCACATATATCTCTCTTTCTCTCTTCCGAAGTGGTGTAATTTTCATACACACAGCATAATCATATTGTATAATGTTTATTAAAAAAAATTAAATGGATTGTTACGTCGTTCTGTTAGCTTTTTTTTATGTAATCCAATCGAAAAAAGCACAAGACGCACACAAAAACCAATAATTTTTTTTAGACACAAATACATAAATGCGACTGGACATTTTTATTGCAAAGCATACCATTACGATGGTTTATTTGTTTTATGTCGGCATACTGCAACAATGCCGATGAGATGATTCTCTCTCTCTCTCTCTCTCTCTCTCTCTCTCTTTCTCTCGCCTGTTCCCTCGCTTGTCAGATCGCTCAATCTCTGCTCAAAATTCAAATCCAACCAACAACAATGCAGCAGAGATCACAACAGATACACACAATTCACATGCCCAACTATCGATATCTCTCGTATTTATGCTGCGCGTATTAAATCGACTCATTCATTCACGCGTTGCGATGCTTTGTGTATCTCACTGCTAATGGCCAATGGTTCGTCGTTTTCGTCTTCTCGCATTAACAGTTATTGTTGTGTCTATTATTCAATCGTTTTGGCACCATCAAATCATTGACCAAAGATAAATTCGTTTACCTCATTTCGATTTTTTTTTCTTCATCATCTTCATCTTCAGCTTCTTCTTCGATCTTCTGTTGCTTTTATCTTATTCATTGCGTTTAGTGTCTATTGCAAGCTTTGTTATGTGCTTAGCCAAAGTATACGCAAGTAACACCTTGATTTTGAAATTGAAAATTCTCCCTGGTACCGCAGTAAACAAAACAAAAATTGAAACACAATAGAATCAAACGAAAATGAACATGGAAATAGATAGTAAATAGTAAACAGCAACAACAATCCACTATGGCATCGGGTCTCTCTCTCTCTCTCTCTCTCTCTCTCTCTCTCTCTCTCTCTCTATCTTTGTGAATGGACTTGTTTCACAGTAACAACAGCAACGAGTGAGTGAGCGAACGAATGAGTAAGCGCTATGATTGTGTTTAGAGGCCGCGTATGTGCGCGCGCAGATCAACGATCACTAGAGCGCATATCGATTGCAGAAAATCACACATAATCCCCAATGATTAAGTCAAGTTATGAAATGGTCGGTCCATTTCGCAAGTGCATAAACACTCTTTTGCCACCTTTTTTCGTGTATTAATTCCATTGAGCTTTTCTCTCTCTCTCTCTCTCCCCTCTCTCTCTCTCTCTCTCTCTCTCTCTCTCTCTCTCTCTCTCTCTCTCTCGTCCGATATTTCTTTCTTTTTTTGTGAAATGGTAACATAAATTTTTTTGCAAATATTCTCATCTATTATGATGTCTGGATGCAGTTATATAAGTGACGGTTTTGTGGCACAGCCATACAATAGAAGCGAATAAATTCCATCGAAATCACATTTCAATACCTCTGAACGGTCTATTTTTTTGGTCGCTCCCTCTCCCTCTCGATGAACGATATAGTTTCTCATTTCTCACTGTCCAACCACCGTAAATGTGCACATTGCACCTTAATACCATTCAATTCATCTACCATGCAAAACTCCGGTTTTGAACACTCAATTAGCCATTCGGACTGCAATTACACACGTTTCAGCTAAATTACATCTATACTTAGAAGAGTGAGAGCAGAAAAAAAAGCCACACTTAGACTATCTCGTCACAACGACGAAGACAACGACGTCAAAGACGACGACGGGAATCAACTTTGTGGGTCTAGAAAGAAAAAAATTATAGATTGTATAAAATTAAAGCGATTTCAATGGGTTCAGAAAAGTTTTAAGCATATAACAAAACATTTAATCACATGTGATTGAAGTGTTGTGTCAATAGAAGAGCGCGCAGTAGGAAAAAAACGGACAAGACATTAACAGTACAATCTTACAATGTATTGAAAAGAAGAGAAAAAAAAACCAGTATTTCAACGCTATACAATTTCAATGCATTTATATATAGCGATACAGTTTATAATTTTTTTTTATAATGCAGTGCAATTGGAATTTTTACCTAAAGACTGCCTGTTGCTGCAGTGCACAGCGATTAACGATTTGGTAGTTATCCTTGATAAAATTGCAAATGACGTTTGTTCTATACCTCAGCTCATGTGGGCAAATGACGCACAATTTATACAGATATATATATATATATGTTTTGGAATTCAGAAAAATCAAGTCAGCTCGACCTGGAAACTTAAAACACAACTACTTTGGTTTTGGCCAAGTAAATTTGCGCTTATTTGTACAGCGAACGCTGTTCTTTTCCATTTTTTTTTTTTGCTTTGACTTCTCTTGATCACTTCTCGATAAATGTGTATATATGCTCTGTGCAATCTCTTACTATTGACGCGCATCAACTTGATCGAAAGACACTATAGCTTCGAATGTTTAATGCTAGAGTCGAAAAAAGGCCGTTTCATTCAAGTGGTTTTCAGTGAGGTACTCGCTGTATACTTGATTTTGCCAATTTGCGCAAATCAAGAACAAAACGAAAAGACCTCGGAAACCATCGTCGAATTGTGCGTGCGCGTTCTTGTCCGGCATCGTCGATGACGTCGTCATCAGTCAGCACATTGTTTTCCTAGAGCATTGTTCAGCCACAACCAAGAAGTATTCAATCTCAAGAGAGATGAAAGAAAAACTGCGCTGTGAACATGAACAGCCGCAACACACACAACAGGCCATGGTATTGATTTGTCGGATTGATCATGTTTTTCATATGCCATCTTTGCGTAATCGAAAGAAAGCCGGTTTGTCCCAAAGATTCGTTGACACTCGCGCTGACTCTCTGATCGAAGTTTAGCTCTGAAGGTTACATTCGTTTCGGTCATTTATATCGCCCATTCGATCGTATCGTCGTCAATAACCGAACACCAAACATACTGAAACTATTTCTCAATCAGTCATGACAAAAACGAGCGGCGGCGGCGGCGGCCGAAAGAAAAAAAAATAGAGGAGGAAATTAACTTTACACCGAAAACAGAGAAGAAAAACGCCAGAGAAAAAAAATACGATAATAATAAAACGGTAAACACAATTTCGATTTTTAGTTCCCGAAACACTCTGTCACGATCATTCACAGCGCGATAATTACATCGCGGCTCATTCTCCTCGGCCCGGGCCATTTTTGCAAATTTTTCGGTTTGTGCCGTTTGTCAACATCGGATTTTTTTTTTCATTTAGGTAAACGAACAAATTATTCATCGATCACCGTAGCCGATTTTTATTGTAGAAATATCATTGAATTGGTTTTTTGTTTCAATTTCATCAAATCGATCTACTTATGGTGTTTCTCTATTATTTTCATTTAAAAAAAATCTTGTGTTGCATATTCAATTATTCCGTTAAAATTTGAAATAAAAGTGAAGAAACTGGCGCAAAAGCGATGAAAAACCTGGAAATTGAAGAGAAAATCCACTTATTTCCGTC